ATGAAGTTTCAAGGTCTTTAAAAGTACTTGATAAATTCTCTCAGTTGTCTGTGTTTGCCATAAACATTAATAAATATGATAAATTGGCCTTTAAGTACTAGAGAAGGACAAAGTATGCATTCCTGTTAAAGATATTATAGCATATTTGGGTCATTTGTGCTGAGGTTTCTCTTCCAAAAGCAGAATCTGTTAGGAGCATCTCCTGTATTTTCCTCACCTAAGATCCTCAGATCAGTACGTAATGTACATCTACATAAATTGTGCTTTCAGATGAAATGCTAAAAATGTTATCTATAAAAATAGCTTGAGGGCTTTAATATGTTCCAGACATGAAGTAATGAAAGATAAACTGAACTAAGAAGTACTATAACCCTGCATAGTATTTTGAATGTTATGTCAAATGATCCTTCCAACAGCTAGGAGGCCTCGGGCTTCTGTTACAATGCGCCTGTGATGTTGGAAAACACTTTCACAAAAATATTTTTTTTTCTTGGTTATTTCTCTATAAACATTTATTATAATATTCAAAAGAGACTTTATCCTTAATCAGTTTTATCCTTAAACAGCTGGCATATGACTCATTAAATATGTATATACTGTCAGAGGATAGAAAAATAGCTAATAATTCAACAGCTGTCAAAAGCAAAAAGTTGAAGCAACAGTGTATCTTTGTCTGAGTCCACAGCAAATATACCAAGGAGCTGAAGCACCAGTTCCTATCTTAAACATGTTAATGACTGCAATACAATGTACAATGTTATTAAAATATGTGTGGCTTTGATCAAACCAGATTGTTTCTTACCCATGATGTACAGCACTTTGGGTTCCATATATTGCAGCTCAAATGTAATACAGTGGGAAAGTCTGATGTACTCGTTAATGGATTAAAAATTGTTGTTTTTTAAAATTGCTGCAGAATATCCCCTGGCTTCACAGCCTTCCCCAGGTCGTGCTGTTTGTGTCCCACATGTGACGCACATTCCCACAGAGTAGGAGTGGTCGGCCACATGGTCCTGCGGACAGGCACAGCCTGGACAGCCCAGCAGGCCGTAACACCCCCAAGCTCCGGGCACAAATTAAAATACCAGAACTCTGCTGCGCTCCACGATCACAGTTTCCGAATCTGAATTGCAACACTTCTCTTATTAATCATTTCAAAACTCATGTGTTGCAAGTCTTTACAAATTGGTGATTTAATGGTGACCTGTGAGACTGCTGTATTTGATTTAATTGGTATAATTGAAAATCTCACAGATTTATTTAACAGGTAATGAAATCCAAGGACCCATAATGTAATTTAAGATAATTACAGTTAAGAGACAGACTTCTCTATTACTTCTAAAACTGCTGCTACTGCTAATAATACATTTTTAATACGACAATTTGACTTTATCATATTATAAAAACATGGAAAGTTTTATACACAGTAAAATAGTCAAGATAAATTTTCTGGGTTTAATCATGATATCCTAAAAGAAAACTCCCGTTTCCTGGCTGAAGCAGCACCTAACAATTTTTGGAGCATTCTCGTCGTGATAGGTGTCGAGTTGTCTGTCGGAAGGATTGTACTCTAGACACTTTTCTCGCACTAAAACAGGTTCCCCCATGCATTAACGCTAGATTGATTCAATCATCTGTCCAACCTTTTCCAATAGCATATTTCACATGTTAGCACATCGTATTTCACCCTTCAGTCCGCCTCGCAGTGTTGGGGCCCTGCTGTGCTTTCCTCCAGGTGCTCCGGTTTCTTTCCACGGCCCAGAGACAGAACGGTAGGTAAATTGGTGTCTGGGAGATTTACCCTGCCGTGTGTGTCCGTGTCTTGCGCTCCCGGTGATGGACTGATGTCCTCCTGTCCAGGGTGTATCGCACCCTGCGCCCACAGCCTTCTGGGATAGGCCCCGGCTGCCCCTTGCCCACGCTCTGGGGTGGCTGACTGGAAAATGCATGGGTGGATTTAACACTTCCGAATTTCTAACTTCTCGTGCTTGTTCTGAAGTTCACCCTTTCCCAGGACTTTGTAATACCTTTTTGTCTTTGTGTCATACCTCAGCTGTATCTGTATGAGACATTAAGAGCATGTTTTTCTAAGACTATCTCTCCAGAGCAATGCTGAGTGTAGGTCTACCAGCGTAAATCCTATGATTAACAAAGTCTTAAAGCTCTCACTTTGCACGGGGGAAAAAAGGCACCTTGAACCATTTAATTAAAGATCTTAAATTTAAAATTCAATCAATCCTAATTGCTCCACATTCATTATCTTCAACGATTTTGTATCTCATCACAAAGACATAGCAAGATCACTCTTCTTGTTCACCGGGATATCAAAGTGCTTGCCATGTCAATAATCTTGGCAAGAGGGGCTCTTTCTGTGTTAGGTTATTTTATTAAATGTCAGCAATAGAGAAGGATTAAATTAAGCTATTAAGGCAGAATTGCATACACCTTTAATAAAGTACATTTGCACATGAAATAACACTACGGAGGTTCCCATCACATTGTATTTTAAGGAACCACTGTTGTGCTTTGCAGGGAAATGAATCATTTTATCTCTCAGCCCCTTTGGCTCGGTCCCCAACGAGGTCAGCAAGGCAGCGAGCTCACGGAGAAAGACATAAAACATCCCCCTGTATAAATGATGCTCAATGAGGAATGGGAAACAAACCCCGTTATGTAGGCATGAAATTCAAGGAAAAGCACAGGGCCGAAACAGTAAAGTGTGACCTCTTTATTCACACGACGGGAGTGTGGAACTGAGCTGGGCCAGATCGCAGCGGGAGGTGTTTGAGTAGAGAAGTCAAGGACAAAAGACAAAAACTACACCCACGAGCTCAGGCCAAAGCCAGCCGTAAAGGCAAAATCGGATGCGCTCATGTGCCCGGTGGACACAAGACATTTTTACTGGACAATCAGCTGCCATTGTCCATGGGATTTCCACCACACGGCGGAGAGACCACCCATTCCTTTCCCAGCTTTCCCTTTCGGCAGCATGTCCGGGTGCTCGGGTCATCTCAGCACGCTGGTACCGTGCCTCATCCCCACAGCCCTCTAACACTACATTACCAGCACATCCAGACAGGCAGGCACATGCAGCTCTTTTCTAGCAGGACATTCAGCAGTTTAGGGGAGTGCTGGTGACATTGCTCGGTTTGTGCCAGTTTGAAGCTTTAGTACACGGTGTAACCAGTAAAACCAGCATAACAAGTGTCTGTTAAAGGTGCATAATTAAACAAAATTAACCAGCTGGCACAGTTAAATAACCAGTGACTTAATGCATCATAATTAATTAAGCGCCATTTAAGCCTAGGAAACTTATCATTCTTCAATATGCATTTACTCAGCACTTATTTTCTGTAAATAATATTTCCATCCTCTGAAACCCAATGCAAGCTGAATTAAGGTGATGCTGACTGCAGTACTGGCTTCTGTAAAAATCACCTGAGATCTGGACAGGAAGCGAGCATGGGTCAAGACACACATCGAAAACAAACTCTCAAGCATCAAGCCTTTTGCGTTGCATGGTCTTTTGTGTTGAGCCTCTATCTTTTTGAATGAATTTATTTTTTGCTTCTGGTAACATTTGCACATGCAAGTGCAAGTTTTCTCTTGTACGAAGAACAGAAGAACAGACTGATTAAATCAGGCTAGTTCCTAACACAGCTCACAATCAGCATGTTTGTGCTTCTGAAGCTAAAACTGAAAGCCCCTGCCCTGTCTTGTCGGATGACTAGGCACACAGGACCATTGCGCCCACACCTCTGTTCTGCAGCTGCAGAAGGGAAGGGTGCCTTGCTCACTTTCTCTTGAAGAAGCAGTCTGGAGCTCACATCTGGGTGAAGAATAATGGAAGGCTTTGGATCAAATGTAATTACCACTCAGCCCAGCTCTCCGTTCCCATGTGAGGTTTATTGAAGCTACATTTATAGACTTTTGGAAAACGCACTCTTGGCAACTATATGTTGTGAGTTTGTGTTTTCTTACAGAGGTAACTCTGGTAGCTCACACTGTGCTGGTAACACCTGCTAGAGCACGTGAAGAGACCCTAAAGCAAAAAAAAAAGGAAATGGTGCTCTTAAACGGTAAATTAAAATGGTAAAAATACCTTTTCTCTCCAGGATAGGTCTATTCACAGAGACTGTAATGAGTCTGGTCATGTGGACTAGAAAACGTTTGACAACACAAAGCAGATTTTCTGCCCAAACAACTTCTGTTGCCTTGCAGATAACATACTTGTAATATAATGAGAGGTTGTGATTCTCTGGTCACCTCCCCTAGTTCAAAGACATGCTGGTAGGTTAAGTGGCTCCTGGGAGAATTGGCCCTGGTCTGTCTTTCCTGTGGTGGACAGGAATCCTGTCTTGTTCTCAATAATAATAATAATTGCTTACACTTAAATAGCACTTTTCTGGACACTCCACTCAAAGTGCTTTATAGGTAATGGGGATCCCCTCCTCCCCAACCAGTGTGCAGCACTACTTGGATGATGCTCCAGTACTCTCCCCACACACCGGCTCTCAGTAGGGAGGAGAGCAGAGTGATGAAGCCAGTTCAGAGACAGATATTATTAGGAGGCCATAATTGGTAAAGGCCAGGGGGAAATTTGGGCTGGACACCGGGGTAACATCCCTTCTCTTCTCGAGAAATTCTGTAGTGTCCCCGTCACTGTACTGGTGCATTAGAACCCACACAGAACGCAGGGTGAGCGCCCCCTGCTGGCCCCACTAACGCCTCTTCCGGCAGCAATCTTATTTTTCCCAGGAGGTCTATCTAGGTACTGACCTGGCTCACACTTGCTGAGGGTCAGTGGGGCTACCGGTTGTGAGTTGCAGGGTGATATGGACAGACTCAGGCTCCCCCGTGGCGCTGATTCAGATGAACCCACTATAAAATGGATGGATGGATGGATGGAGAGACTGATTATGTACCTCTGGAAAATGCTTAGATTTTTCCCTCAGCCTGTCCTTTGTGACTAAGAAAAAAAGTTTTTTTAGCACTCCATGTTTTATCACATGAAATTTTAATGTAATTCTTGTTTCTTTATGTCTCTGTGAAACTGTCAAGAGCTAAAATAAAATTATCCTGTCAAAGACTTATTTTCTTGCTGAAGTGTTTCCATCAAGTTTACAAGTGGCTTTTATATATCAAATGTTAAAAGGTACTAAAGGTGAGAAAAAAACTCTATTCATGTTTAAAACGCTGTGGGGACAATCCTGCCTTACAGTGAATAGAAAATAATTACATCTGGCAATTCACGATTCTCACCACTGGAAACATCATGACCCAACCGTTGAAAGACACTTTTGTCAAAGCTTAAAAAAAAAATAAACTTTTTATAGCAACTTGTCAAAATGGTTCCTATTAACAAGAGTGTGAATAACTAGAGATTTTATCTTGCAGCTCTTTAAAAGATTTCTATTCCACAAGTCTTGCAATAAACTACTCTTTGTGGAGCAGAAACCGCAAACCATTGAGCCTTAGAGAGTATCATCTATATTAAAAAAAGGACATTCTGATGCTCTTAATGTGTGCAAACTCTGTACCTCTTCCTCTGAGCCTACAGTAATAAAATACTCTGCTTCCCATACACTTCAGTTTTGTTTCATTGGACATTGTTTACAGCAACTAGTCATATATTAATGTGTACTCGTTCAAAAAAATCTATTTTATTGCTTAGATTTAGGAAAGAAAGGCTCTCATTTTGTTTGGTATGTTCCACATGTTTGGATGATAAAGGAATAAAATAGGGGAATTCAATGTTTAAGTAACATTGCATCACACATTGTAGTATTTCAGCATTATCAGTGAAACAGGAAGGCCTAGAAAAGACTTTTCTTGACTCACACCTGTTGAAAAGGAAAAACCTTGGGGGGGGGTAGTTATGTATATTAATAACCAAGTAATAAAGCACAAAAATCACACTACCAGATCTCTATTTTGTAAGCATAAATCATAGTGAATTGCAAATGCAGAAGTGTCAAAATGAGATTTCACTTTAGAAAGGAATAGCACCTCAGAGACAGTTTATCACAGCCTCTCTGCATAGTCTGGATCCAGGAAAAAAGTGATGTATTGCTTTAACGCATATTACAGTCAGCTCTGCTCTAATTCTGCTGACCTTGAAACCCAGTTTATTACCTCATCCGTTTTGTGCGGAGATAACAGACCAGCTTTCTTGGAGAAGGTGATGATTTTTGGAAGTGCGTGGCTTTGTCTATAATGAAAATTAACAACTGAGAGGGATAACACGTACTTCGCTGTGCTTAATGGGGGCATCAACTGTGTCGTTATTCACTTCCTCTCGAGCCCCCAGACCGCTGCTGCTCTCTGAGAATCCTGTACACCACCAACATACGATCACAAAGGGGTACAACAGGTTTTCCAGTCCAGTGCTGGTTCACTACAGAAGGAGCCCTGACAGTTCGATAAGAACCAAGCCTCAGTCCAGTTTCAGAACGAGAGCAGTGCAGCATTGCTCTTTTACACTGTCAATCCTTCAGCTTTTTTAACAGGGGAGGAAAGGACTTAATCAGTACTCCGGTGTGTTTTAATTTCAGCTGCTGAAACCCTTCTTGATCGAAGGGATCCGCTGTTCTCCCACATGGCAAAACATTGGACAGGTCAACGTGATCACCGGGTTAACTTCCTGTTGCGACTGCCAGAATCCTAAGAGCTTTCAATTATTTTCTGTATCAGAAGTGAGAAAAAACGCAATGTAATAAGCCTTTCCTGCAAAGATCCTTCACCCGTTTCTTTTTTCCAGTTCAACGGAAGTGGACATATTCTCCTTAGAGTGCTTCAGCCAGTCAGTATGGGTGTGGGGTGTTGCCTGATGACTAAAGATCTAAAACCAATGCAATCGACATAAAACCCCTGCACAACTGTAGAGCAAAGTTAATTCAGGGGACCCGCTGATACATGTTGGGGTTAGGGACCAGAAAATTGCAATTTATAGCAAAACAATGTACTGTATAAATGGGATCTTTTTTACATAAGAACAATGTAAATATGGAGGGTTAGGGACTGTAAAAAAGTAAACTTTGCTCCTGTGATTTAAAGCAAGAGGCTTTTCCCCATCAATGGAATATAGTCAGATTAGGGACCAAGAGTTACACCATAGGTGAGTGTTTCACTTGGAGCTGCCCAGACACAGTAGCTTATGTATATTTGCACTGGCATCTTTACACCACTTGTACTCTCACCCATCTCCATCACGAATTGGCCTTTGTCCTTCCCACTTAAGGTGTAGAGGATTAAAAAAAGAATCAATTGAACAGAGCAAGGTTAGGGACTATACGTTATACTAAGTGTGCATTTCACTTGCACATGGTGTAGATCCCCCAATACAGTACATTACCATACAGGTGCACTAACTTTCTTACACCATTTTTACTCTAACCCATCACTCGCTTTTATCTTGAATTGTCAGTTTAACATAACATCATTTTAATCGAACTTGCCCAAACACGTATTGAAGTGATCATACCTGGAGAGGAGGTGATTGTTTGCGCTACAGCGCTTCCTGTGTTCTGCACCTGTACTGTCACTGTGTCACCTATGCTCAGACCTCGCTGCGGCTCAGATGCAAAGATAAAATTGTCTCTTACATTCACCACAAGCTTTAGAAAATCCAACATACAAGACTTCTTCTAAACAAAATTAGCTAAATCAGCAAGCTCAAGTACAGGGAATTTTTATGTCACATCCCAAATATCTGAATGATGTTGTGGGACAGGGAAGCAGATATCAGGGCGACTTATTATAATGGGGACCCCCCCTGTGCCAACATCCCATACAGAAATGGCAGAGGACAGATATTTTTGCACATATCTTCTATCCTTTACCCATACGGAAAATTGCCTCGTTTCCTCCTTATAACATTCATGTACCACAGAAAATTTGAATGAGGTCTGTTGTGCCAGTGTAACGGCAGTAGAGTCTGACCAACAGCAGCTCTTAGTATTGTCTGCATGGTCTGAGTCACTGAATCACCCCAATAGAACAGAAATCCCCAGAGGGCATCACCATCCCAGAATCCCTCCCCCCCCAGTCAACAGAGGGATGGAACAAAAAGATCTTTACACATTAGGAACAAAAATCTGAATAATTTTCATACACACTCCACGGTCGTGAAGAGCCCTCTTTGCCATTGCATGAGGTCGGCTAGGTCTTTTCTCATGGAAGGGACAGATCACACTGAGCAAGAAGAGTCCCAGGCTGGTGCCCTGTCCTTGGTGTCTCTGGCTCCAGAACTGCTGTGGCTTCGCAGCTGAGCTGTCGGGCTGGCAGTGTTCAAAGCAAAGAAGCCGACGCTACAAGCATTTGATATTCCGAAAAACCCTGCAGAGATCGGCGATACCTCGTTCACATAAAAACCCCTATTAAAATACACTTTCCAAGAGAAACTGATATAGACCAGCGCTACAAACGTGTCGAAGTTTTTCCCCTCTCTCCCTGCAGGTGGCTCTCAGCCCCAGATGTCCTGCAGGTAGCGTTTCTCGTCCCGCAGTGCCGCCACAGCCTGCAGCGCCTCCAGCTTCTCCAGCCCCAGCTCCGCGCCCGCAATGCCGATCAGGGCCTCGTTCACGTCCCGGGCCATGTTCTTGGCATCCCTAAGGAATGAAGGAGCGATCAGCCAGGACGTCTGGGGACCGCGGTTATGTAAACATCACTGATTTTTTTAAGTGGCGAGTTAATGATGCACATTACAAACACACAGGATGTTCAATCCTAGGGCTCAATCCAAATCACCCTGAAAAATAAGAGAGCGGATTTATCAGGCTGAAAGAAACCGAGATAAATGTATTTTGCCAAAAATAAAATATAATTTACTTTCCCCTTCAAAAGATGCACTGCTTACACACTCTGAGCAAAACACAGCTAATGTGGTTTTAAATAAGAACGGCATTCAGAGGCTGCAGACGGCTCTAATACTCCACTCTGCACGCAGAGAAATAGCACAGCAGTTAATGACACACGGGATTATCTCGGTATTCCAAAAAGATTGTGAGAGGACAAAAATAAAGTGACAGAACAAAGCTTGCAGGCTACCACACGTACAGAAAGAACAAACACTGCTCAGCGGTCTTTAGGAGAGTCGGGGGGTAGACTATCATCACTCCGCTGTGTGAAGCCAAAGAGCAATGCGCGGGATTATTAGACTGCCAGGGCTGGGAATTGGGAACTGATGATTGACATCACTGCTCATTCACTCATGGACTGCAGAGGCAGTCTACAAAAACAGCAACAGCACCTCTTTCCTCCTGCCCAGCTTCCTTCTGAGATGAGGAAAAATCAATGGCTTGTATTCTTATATAGCGCCTTTCAAGGTACTTTCCATAGCAATAATAATAATGGGAGTATAAGTATAGAGAAAAGCAGGGGGTGCGTTATTCCCGAGCGAGCGCTGGCGCCTTGGCCAACAAAGGCAACTCCCGTAGCCTGTCCCACTTACCCACAGACGTAGAAGCAGCCGTTCTGCTTGAACAGGACCCGGGCGACGTCCCGAGTGTGGAGGCGCAGGTTGTCTTGCACGTATTTCGGCGCAGGTGCTTCCCCCTGCTGGGCGTCCCGGGAGAAGCAGACCTTCAGGTGTGTCAGGGTGCCGCTTTCCACAAAGCGCTCCAGCTCCTCTCTGCAACGTCGCAGCACAATCCAGGATGATACGAATGAATATAATGATAATTATTAATAATTGTTTACACTTATAAAGTGCTTATCAGGTAATGACTCCCCTCCACCACCACCAGTGTGCAGCCCCCCCGGATGATGCACCAGTCCGCTCCCCACACACCAGCTCTAAGTGGGGAGGAGAGCAGAGTGATGAAGTCAGTTCAGAGATGGGGGTTATTAGGAGGCCATGATTGGTAAAGACCAATGGGACATTTGGCCAGGACAACGGGGTAACACCCCTACTCTTTACAAATATATATATATTTCTGAATATATTAAACAGAACATGTTTAATGTATAACAATGTTTTCAGCTTGTACTCAAAAGACCTGCTGGAAGAGCTGTAGCTGCTCACAACAGGATGTTAAGATGCGGTTTCAATATTACAAATAAATTGAATGAACTCTTCCATGGCTCTTCAGTTGGGGGGTTTAAAGTCCAAATGTGCTGTTTTCAGAGGCTGGTACTGTTAGTTTTAAAAATAAGGTGTGGAGATCAACCCCCTGTGTCACACAAAGCAAACTAGCAGAAGCTTATTAGTAGAAGAGACAAAGCCTGCCAAAATGTGGGTCTTTTTCCCCTGCGAGCAAATTCTACCATCCTTTTAATATCCTAGGGAAAATGAGGACTTTTTCCATTTAAGTCACTACAAAATGCTATTTTTTGCAGGGCTTGCAGTCTTCCACAGTCCACACCGAGACAGGGCCCTTACACTCCTGTTCGTCTTTACTCTGGCACATATAGTATCTTTGTCAGATGACTTAACAACTTCCTCCTAGACAAAACATTCAAAGCTTCAGCTTAGCCTCAAAGCAAGTGTTCTTGTACTTGTTGCTGAAGAGTGATAGGTCTCAGCACCCGGGCAAAGACGAGGAAAGCAGAGATAAGCCTAGACTTCCCTAGTTAAACTCACAATGACATACACCAGAGACTTCAAGAAAAATAAATTCCCTTTATCCCTCTTAATTCTTCAGTTCCTTTCTCATGTCCCCATTTTCTACTCTAATGCAAAGGAAGACCTCTGGAGCCCAAAGAGCACCACAGACTTTCTGGTGTTGCATTTAATTACAGAGGTCAAAAATTCTGACCAGCCAGTCTTGCCAACTGAAATTTAAATTGAAACAAAAAATTAGCAAACAGCACAGTAGCTACAACAGCCGACACAAGTAATTTAGCAGACTCAGGGCTGTACTGATTTCATTCCTTTCACACAGAATTGACTCTGCCTTTGAATAGTACATTCTTGACAAGTGATCTCTACATTGTCCCAAAACCCCCCGTCTCCAGTTTTTACAACACTTGGAATGTGATCATATTTGTAACCTCAAAAGGATTATCATGTTCATGCTCTTAATTCTCTTTGGCCCATCCTGAGATTCATAATTGATCTCGGGTTCTAAAAGACATCTTGCAACTAGCCGAAAAAACACTGTGGGGAATTAGACGTAGAAAACAGCCTTTCATTAGTGCAGATTCAAGCACAACAAACCACAGAACAGAAGCAACTTGTAACACGGAGAAGCTATTAGGCTATTTTTTTAAATAAAAGTAAATCCTAAAAATGTTATGGACTCGGTGGTTACACATGCAAAAAAAAAGAAGAACATGATTATATTTAGATAAAAAAATGTTAATGGGAAAAAAGATAAAATTTGTCATATTTTGCAATACATGCATTAGGTTCTGAAACACATATTTTGATAAGTACATCTCATGAAGTCAAAGGCAAAAACAAAAGTTTTTTAAGTTATTTCTTTGTTTAGTCTTCGGTTTCACTTATTTGTAATGCTCACTGATGCAAGCCTGTGGGATCTGGACCTTAATCTGTGTCAACCAAGATATACCGAGTTATACATCTGAGTCTGAGAGCACTTTAGTGGATGATAATGTTGTATAGTCTAGTTTCATATGTCTATAATTTTTCAAGGGAGAAGTTTAATTTCATTGTAGTCGCTCACAACATTCATAAACGGTAAATTCTGGGCGACATGTTCTGAAAAACTAAATCTGGTGCCCACGAGACTCAGTAGGCGATCTGTCACAAAGCAGTTTAAATTCTGGCTTTCACAGATACACAGGCTATATATACATAGAGAGAGAAAATGGAGAAAGTCAAAGAGAAAAAAAAGGAATATACTGAAACACAACATGTTCACCCCCCTAGTTATGAAGTTAAATAAACCAATAGGCTTCCACATTAGATGCAGCCAGCATGAGTGGCGAGCTGTTTCACTGTTTCGTGGTTCAGAGGAAACCGGATGGGGTAACACTACTTTAGGGGCCACTCTGTATCAATTCACACTGACATATGCATTAATAAAGCCCTCACACACAAGAATAACATGACATTTACGAATGAACTTGCAAATTAATCACCAAGAGAAGTCGGTTCTTGGCTAGGTTATTGACGGTCTAATGTGTCTCCAGATCACAGATAATGAACAATTCTGTATATAAATGGAATTTGCATTTATACTGCAGGTGAGGCCTCTGTCCAAAGCCAAGTGTTGGGAATTATGAGAAGCTGAGACACACCGTTCTCCCAAGTGTGAAAGAACCAGAAATTTGTCAAGACGGGTATCAGGGAGTCACCACTGGCACAAAAGCAACCCATGTCTGTCTGTCACACTGCAGAGAAGTCACCTGGCCGTATGCATCCCATCACCCATATCGCTAACATCTCATAAGAAGCACTGCCATTGGTCTGAGAAGATCAATCCCATGTACCCAACAACTGAACTGTCAGTGGACATCTGAGAAACTGCTTCTGCGCAGCAACATCGATGGCTGACCTGTACCCGTTGCATTACCTCACAGCCAAAACCCTAAACAATCCCATCTGGCGCTGAACCTGCGGTTCCAGCTTGGAAAAGTCTCTACAAGTACCTCTGACGTACTGAGACGTCAACTGACACCAACAGACTTGCACACCTACGGGAAAACCACCCACCTGAAGAGGAAATCTCTGTCTTTATGTCGGCAGCCGAAAAACAGCCACGTCTCTCCGAAATCGCCATCAGGGATTTCTCGTCTCTGCTGGTCCCTGCGAAGGAAAGGAAAAGTAATGGTTTACAGATCAATAGACCTCAAAACCTATGAAGACAGGAAAAAGGGTTAAGTCACACATGGATAACGTGCAATATAAACACTATTAATAATATTCACAACAGCTTTAAAAAACATCCATATTATGAGATTCAACTCGATTGCTTACAATCAACTTAGTCCACCTAACCAATTTGTAACCACATCCTCCAATTCGATGATTCCTGCCTGAACTGGGAAGACTGTCGGGGGTCCTGATTGAACTATTCAAAATCCTAAAAGGCACCGACAAAGCCAACCCCAAACATACTCCCAAAGGCAGTCTGGAACAAGCTACCCAGCCACGTGGAGAAGCCAGTACTTGGACTTTATTAAAGAAATGGATGGATGAAATCCGTGGACCAATTAACTACTAACTACCAAAGGGGCTCGCTGGACCGCAGATTTACAGCACTGCTTCTGTTCATCTCAGTCTTAGAGTGCGCAGCTTTCAGAAGTCACTGCTGCCAATGAAAGTTTGTGGCCGATCAAGGAAACCTCCCGGTGTTAAAGACAACTGTTTGAAGGTCTGTCTCCCGTACATTCTGTGTGGTTCATGTGAAGACGAGAGAAAGCTGCATCAGCCCAGCCTTAGGTTAATAACTGCAGTTTGGAAGACGACACACATTACCCCTTTAAATCAGCTTTTCAGTTCCACTGGATTTACAAAACACAACGCACAGGAACATAACAGTGCGAACAGCATAGTTTTCAGAGTAATAAACTTTAACTGGATGTCCTGATCTGCGATGAAGTTACACACGGAGAGCCGTGCACGAAGCTAGACGGTCCGAGTAAATTTATCAGATGAAAGAGCTGATCTGGCCCCGGGCCCAGAAACTGGAGCCCTAGTGTGTCACGTCGGAGGCACATTCCCACTGTATCTATGCAACACACCTGCTCGCTCTCGACAGCTCCGAAAAGATAAGGGAATTTCATTCCGATTTCTACCTTCACCAAAGTCAAGCGACACTGTGGGCTCTAAATGGTAATGTTTTTCCCAGATCCCATTCTGCGGCAAGTCCAAGTGTTTGTGGAGAGAAGACGTTGACTGATGACCAGCCATCACTAAAACCATGACCAAACCAAAGTCATCACCAAAATCCTGTCACCTTCCCATTTTGCAACTTCTGCTACATGTTGGCGTCATTGTGTTTGTAATTCAATGTTTGAGGCAACACTTTTTTTTCCCACTCTACTGAAGGGGCATTTCAAGAGCTTGTAGAAATTACATGCATTTTGGGCACAAAATAAAATTAATAAAACTCCAACAACTTCTGGTGCTGCACTTGTTAAAACATACCCTCAGATTTGAAGAGAGCATTTTCTCAAGAACAGAGAGACAAGCAGAAACACGTTAAACACAATGTCTTCTGCAACAGTGAAAAGAGCATAAAACAAATTCCAGGGGATCCAGTGGAGAATTTCTCTGCCATCTTGCAATCGGGTTAATCAATAACAGGACCCAATGACTTGATCCTCTCTTTCAGGATTCCCAAATCTATTGAAATTTGTTTTCATGCTTCGGTGACCCATTTTACCACAATTTCATCAACAGAGATTTATGGTTTGATAATATTGCCAAGTCTAATCTATTTTCGTGCTGGTTTTAATCCGGGTTTTTTTTCAATGCTTGAAAAGACAATCTCATTATTGCAAAAAGTAATTTGCCATCATCACTCTTTTACCCATAAATGGTGCTGCTCTCACATTAACTCCACTGCAAAGTTCAACATGAGCTCAGCAGAAACGTTTTTCTATAGAATAAGGCAACGCACAGAACTTGAGGATACTTTATAGAGCCAAATAATTTAAACGGAACAGAAAAACCATCCATCCATTTACCAACTGCTTCATGCAGTTCAGGGTTGAGGGGGAGTCGTTGCCTCTTGGCAAGCAACAGGCACGAGGTAGGGTAGATCATTAAAATATTTCTAGACTGAATATTTAATATTTCTATAAAATATCTAGACTGAGCAGTTTATTTAGGTTATGCTATTTGAATAATTTATTTAAATTACTGCCCAAAAGCACTGCTAATAGCATCTCGGAGCCCAGCTTCCAATCTGAAAGTAAGTTCAGTGTTTCTATATAGTCTTCAGGCAGGTAAATGCATACGTGGAAAAGCAGAAGACTATCCCACTCTGTTACACAAGCAAGGTTAAAACAGGACTAAGAACAAATGCAAATTGCAAGGGCAAAAACAGTAAAAGGACACTGGTTTGTGCTGGATATGTTGTAGAAACAGTCTGTGGAATTATAGGGACTCAGCTCTTTCCTCAAAGACCGGCATTAGTGGACTATTACCTGTCTGTGGCAACAGACAGGATTTTTATCTCTATCTAGCCCAAGATTTACAGAGACTCTTTACGTTATTAATCCACCTTCATATAGGGAGTAACGTAGGAATCGGACCAATGATCTGGGGAAAACGAAGCCTTAGCCTTCAGAAACATCATGGTTGTGTTTGAGGGATAAGGCAGCCCGCTGGTGAATGAAGCTTCTCACCATAAAACAGGCAATAAAGCACGCACAGAAGCACACGCCTGGATGGCTCAGAGAGAAACACATTTTGGCGAGACGTATTGAGCACATGGAAATGCTTGTCAGCTGACTTGTACACAGCCTGAAAACAAAGCTAGTTGATGCTGCTGCCTTTGAAACAAGATGCTCTCGAATCATTAGCTGTATGTGCGGTAGAGCGTTCAGAGTCTCTCTTGTAATTTTAAAAGGCTTTTTTTTTTATCAGTGATGTGTTCATGTTAATAGCAAGAAGCAACTTCCTGAGTTTCTTGAAAGTTTGCTGCAAAGCCTTTTCTGCTGGTATTTTGTCCTTTGGCTGAAATGTGGAACAAATTGTAGAACAAGATGTTTATTTTAAAAAGAACAGCAGGACATCTCAACATGTCTTTTTTCCCCAGAACTAATTTAAACATTTCAGCCTGTTCCTACAGCCCTTAGTCTGCCAGCAAGCGATAAGAAAGTTTCATCTGTATTAACTTTTCCTAGAAATAAGGATACGAAAGTCCTCCAACGCCTCTTACTATACTATAGAAGCGGCATTCAACCAAAATTAAAACCAGAGTACTGATTTTCAGCTGAGTTTAACCTTTGCTCATTTTTGCTCTCAGCTCCTGGAGAAAGCAGGATGTCACAGAAAAGGAGCAGCCAGCTAGAAGCGCTTAGAAATACATCGATTGGAAGTGGAAGGAGTCGAAAGGAAAGCCTTTTGCCTGCTGACAAAATGGGAAGAACTATACCTTTTATAAAAAAAAGATAGGAACCTCTCGCATTGTTAAGAATCAATCAAATCTCTGTGTAAAGCCTCTTAGCAAGCAGTCTTCAAGCGGCTCATTCAGTGTTTATTTTACACAGGACCAAAGAGAACGGTAGCTTTTCTGACAGCCTTGTTTGTGCTGTTGACTTGTTCATAAATGCAGAAAAAAGTCTCAAAGCCACACTGGGCAAAGGAGTTCCACTTCCTCATGGGAGGAAAATGCCCAATGTCATCTGCTGGGTAGGAATGCCTGAATACAGCACACCAAGGGACTGTACTTGATTAGAAGATCAGAACAAGTCCCCTGGCTGTCAGCATCACTTCATAGCCTTCCATGGAAGAACAGAGACTGACAGGAAATGACTCTGCTAAACTGTAGAAATCGCTGAACTTTAAAAGGGTGCTACAGTTTTATCTATTAAATATAAGTAATAGATATAGGAGCGGTGGCACTGTGGCTAAGGATCTGTGTCAGTGACTGGAAGGTTGCCAGTTCAAATCCCGTGGCCGGCAGAGGAATCCTACTCCGTTGGGCACCTGGGCAAGGGCCTTAACCCCAACTGCTCCAGGGGGGCTGTACAATGGCTGACCCTGCGCTCTGACCTCAAGATGCTCTCCCTGTATGTGTTTCCCATGGAGAGCAAGCTGGGGTATGCGAAAAAGACAAATTCCTAATGTAAGATATTTTATATGGCCAATAAAGTGATCTTCTCTTATCTTATTAATTGTTAAACTACAGAATCAAGTCACAGTTGAAAACATTCACATTTTGCCTGCTAATCATATACACAAAAAATGCATTGTTCTAAAGAATTAAAATGTATGGTGTGCACACTCCAGACAAAATATTGAATATTTATTTAGCTGAAAACCTCTGCCCACATCCACATCCTTTTTCAGCAGTAAAAACCTTAATTTACATAAAATGTCAAGCAGGTGCTAACAGTTTCAGCAATTAAGATTTTTGGATGCGCTTCTTCTAATTAGTTCAGAAATTATTAAGGGGAATAATATTTCTGATTTTAAATTTTTTAAAAAAATCTTTTCAGTTTTTTATAATGCATTAAAAGTTAGTTATATATGGCATAACAGCAATAATTTCCTACACTAGAGGTCTAATAATATAGGCAAATGGAAAGTTATATAGCCATAGTGCTTGTCTGTGTTTGCAATGGAACCGTGTCTCCTGATAGTGCAAGCAAGTTTTTCAGTTCAGTTCATTTGTCATATGCACAAGTGCAATGAAATGCAGGTCTTTGACAGGAACGTACAGTCAGGAACTCAGGTAAGACTAACACAGACTTTCTCACAGACTGACAGAGCTCTATATAATACCTGGCAAGCAGCTATTTGTATAGCCCCTTGAAAGACGTCACTGATCTGGTACTTTCTGAAATTAAACTCCAGGACCAACATGGATAATTATGTAAGCTATAAAACGGAATTGGATTTTTGTGAGTCTTAATGGTTTATAATGGGGAAAGAAAAAAACAGAATTTGTACAAAAGGCCTTGGAAAGACTGCCAGGAATTCAATCGAAGACCTAAGATACTGTTCAATATTGCGTATACACTTCACCTGTATTTACAGCCTTTCATTTCTGTTTATGACATATTGACATTGTGTGGACATTTCGAGACATTCAGCTTCAAGATCAATATTCCTTTCTTCTTCTCATCTGACCGGCAATTGTTCTTCAGAGGACTGCTTCCAAAATGCTTAGAAAGTCATTGCAAGGACTCCATCAAGACATAGAGGAAAGGCAGTAGCCAACAATAAAAGAAAGAGAAACAGATTCCCCTGATAAATGTCACTTTAAAACATTAATCAAATATGTAAAATTCCTCCCTTAGTCTAGCAGGAAATTCTGAGCAATTAGAAAAAAAAAGTTAAAAGGACCAGATTCTAAATCCATGAAAACTCTGCATTTTCTTTCTCTCCATACTGGGAAGGTGTCCACTATAAACCTGCTGTTAAGGAATCGAGCTCCATAGTGATACTTAAAAATCTGAAGGTCTTCTAAAGCATCTTAGAGTCCATCTAAGATAACACTCGTGATTCAAACTAAACAAACTCCGCTGAGGTTCACTAAGATATATATGCTAAGACATATAGGCACATCGTGCCTGCGTTACCACACCCCGTACCTGTGCTGCAGAAAGCCGATGAAGGGGGCCACTCCGGTGCCCGGCCCCACCATGATGAAGGGCACCGTGGGGTCGGAGGGCAGGTGGAACGCCGTGCTCGGCCGAAGGGAGACGGACACCTGCAAGAGGACACAGCTGCTTGACTCCGGCAGGGATCAGGACACACAGGGAAAGATGTTAAGCCCAGCTGTGAGCAGCTGTGGCGCGCTGCTGGAAAATCCCAGATGCCTGCTTCGCTGGCGAAAGTTCAGATGAGAATCTGAGGAAGCATAAAGCAAATGTGTGTGTATGCACGCACACACACACACACACAAGTTTTCTTGACTTTTGCTCCTTGATCGTAGAAAAGGATCCTCTTGTAAGGATCGGAAGTCCTCTCAGAAGCTAACAACTGCTGTTCATGTGAGATCAAGGACCACCAGGAAGACAGTCAATGACAAAAACGTCTGCAAAGAATGATAAAAATAGCTTTTCAGCAATATAACTCATTTAAGGCCACAAAGCAACTATGCTGACTTCAACACCTACAGTATCCTAGCTTGCTATTCAGACTTCTTGGTGTATACCATCCTGTGCAAAGGTACACTACCCAGGCCTCAGCAAATGGGATGGACTGCCTCTTTCCCAGCAAGATTGAAATCCAACTTCTTGTATGAAAGAAAATTCAGCAATATATAGCCAATTTTAAAGGAAAGACTGCCCGAGAAAGGACAAGGCACAATACTTCATCTATACATGTATAGCTTCTTCAGGTGTGACTCTTTCCTTCATTCCTACTTTGCAGTGAGGATTTAATCTGTAAAAGCACAGTGATACAGCTCCTCATATGTCCCACTCTTTATTAAGTTTTGAATTAAATGCGTTAGTGATACAACATTTTAAATAAATGACTATACCTTGTTATGAGAATTAATGACCAATAGGATTCATAGGACTATGACTTATTGCCAACAATTGTGACCCACAAGAGATCACTTCCTGGTCATCTGTTACTGTTACTCAGGTATTCAATGCCCAAACCTAACCCTACTCTAACAGTTCATAGAGAGTGAAAAAATCTGAGAAACTCTGAAGCTTCATGACAAAAGCAAGGTTACCAATGAGAGGCCATTTGGTCCATCAAGCCTGTTTGGTAGTAGTTATTTGACCCAATGATCCCATGCGTGATTAGAATTAAAGTCTCCAGACATTTAAAATATAAAACCACCCACGATGCACAACGGCAGACGAGCACAAGCCTCCGTTTTCTTACTAACAAGAAGATACTTCACAGAACAGAGGGAACAGTGCTCCCTGGGATAATACTGTCATGCAACGGCGACAGAATCCGGAGAAAGCCCCTTCTCCCCTCCGCTGTCCCTGGGCGATGATTACCTTGGGGCCAGGCAGCCCCGGCTGGGGGCCAGGCCGGGGGCCCCCGCGCGGCCGCAGGACCGGGGAGACCAGCTGCGCCAGCCAGCCGGTGCAGACGCCCCTCCTCGGCACGGGGCGGCCCGAGCAGGCGGGGTACTCCGCGATGTTGAACACGAAGCGCAGCTTCCCGGGGTGACAGAGGCTCGAGCTGCACGGGGGGGAGGAAAGGAAGAAGAGCATCACAGCGGCTCCCCGTGCGTGGCCAAAGACACCTTCCACAGGACTCCCTTCTCACCGCGCCTCCGGAGACTCCGGCTGACCAAACTATTATTCATAATTTAGCACCCTAATGCACTTAGAAAGCCAATTAAACCACCACTAAAAGGCTTTCGGCTCCACTACGAAAACCACACTTTCTAAAACAGGGATTTCTCCATTGCTCTGAGCCTCTTAACACTAATAAGGGTAATCACTCCAATTTGTTCCACGATCAGCACATTACAGCGCAGGAGACGTTTTTAAAGACCTGTGTCTCTTGGGGTACAGAAATGATTTCCGATTAACAGACCCACCATTTGTTTTTCTTATTCATTCGAGCCTTTTCACAATGTATGTATTCTGAATTTAGAAAAACAAAAGAAGAAAACATAGACGTGGCAATACGTAAACCCGTTTTTCCACAATCTCTGCTCAGGATTTACTGCAAGGTGACCGTCTACATTTCAATCCGACCCAACACTCAGTGAATTCCAATTGGCTAATTTCCTGAATCTTGAGCCTTGAATTGATTATTTTTAGATAAACGCTAAATTTTTAGAATTAATTCTTAGCATTCATTTTGGGTCAGATTTAAATAGCAGTATCATTGCAAAGGTATTAAATTCTAAGCCGACGATAAAAATGAAACCAGTCCAAACACGGTTACAGAACGTCTGGAAAGTATATGAAACATTTGGGGCTGTTTCACCGAGACAAGCTTGTTTGACTATGACTCAGTAGGCTATTCTAAACGCATTCAAAAGCCGACACCAGCTGTCATTGTGGCTGCTGTACAAATGAATGCACTTTCATTCCAAACCATTCCTTTGTATGCACTGTTGTATCCATTTTTTTTCATGCGGCTATTCTTAAAAACAATAACTCATTCAACATATAAATTGAAATATTTTAAATGCATTCACCCTCAGCGTTACTTAAAAACAAGATAATCAATCACAATTTCAGGAGCTCTTACAGCACACAGGCTGCAGATTCAGTCTTCAGCTTCAAAGTTGTCTCATTGTGTTTGTTCTGCAGAGTTTGCCCTGCTGCTCCAGTTTCCTGCACATGTTAAAGGCATGCTGGCTGGGGGTGTGTGTGTGTGTGAGGGTGTTCACCCCTTCGAGGTGTAGCTGATGGGCAGTGGAATCCCACAATCATGGAATAAGCAGGTGTCTAATAATGGATGGAGTTATACCTCTAGGTTTATAGGCATACAGTTAGACGGTGCTTTAGTATTCTTGGTTTGGGCCTCTGCATGAGGAGTTAAATGTCAAACAGTCAAAAACTGGTTAACATTGAGTCCAAAAAAGCCACTGGCTCAGCTGTGCTGTGAACCCTGTACATTGCTCTATGAATCGCCAAGCTCAACACTCTCACTTAACGCGAGGATTCATGAATGCTCTGAAAAGCTACTCCAAAGTCAACGGGAGAGAGAAATGGCAGCTCCTACAGTCACGTGCCAAACATATTGACCAAAACAGCGTCTGCCACAGCAGTTGAGAAACTACATCCAATACCCATCTGTTAGCCTTCAACTTTCGAATTAGATTTTTTTACAAAGGTCAAAAGGTTCAACGTGCAACAAATCTGACACTCACCTTGCTGCTGAGTAAGGCCTGGGATGCAGTCTGGGCAAATGTTCTTGGGGAAAAAAACAATGAAAAGGAAAGTGAATAGGCAACACTTACTTAACTTCACTACTTCAAGATGATTCATAAAACACAAGAAACCAAAATGTTATCAGTTTTGAAGGGCTATGACAAATAGCATTAAATTAAATAAGTATTAAATTAGAGATAAGGAAAAGACAAAAATAACAAAATATAATATTTAATGCACTTTCTGCATCTGGCACTGAGTGCTGTGTCCTAAGTATAAAAGTAGAAGGTGAGACATCTAAAGCTTCTGGAGAATTAGAACGACTTTCTAACTGCTGATAAGCATGAGAATAGTGTCCTCCAACCTGCCTTGTTCTGCACAACCTACTGCCTCAACAGAAACCGCTCAGCAGCCCAAAGCTTTTCTTCTAAACCTGTGTCTGCATCTCCTGCAGGAAATCAATCAGACAGCAGGAGAAACCCAGATGTAATAGACTCCACTAATTCTTGCGGCAAAGAAGCAAGTGAACAACGCTGCTGTGTGTGCCGTTTCCTGTAAAGGAACACACCATTTAAGAAGGGTGGGCCAGGGATTTTAGAGCAGAAGCGATTCTCTCCATCAGTTATTTTCTCAGAAAAAAATATGCTGAATGTCATTTTGTCCCCCAAACAGTTCAGTGACTCTTCCATCATTTTGTGTGCAGTAAGGGAAGGAAGAAAACGTTTGGAACAGAAGGACAACCGACGTTGCCAAGCTCAGTTCTTCTGAAAGAGTACCAGACCTAGCACATGCTTCTTAAAGAGCTATTGACATTGTCCACTAATCAAAAGTCAAAAGTCCTATTCTTTATTTGTTGTGTCAAACTAAAGTCAAATTAAGGTGCAGTCACTAGTGCAGTGAGCTCACAATAAGAGACTCCTTTCCTTTCCTTTCCAATTGCGTGGCTCATCTAAAACCATCACACTGTTCCCAGAGAGCGCTTAACATCCAACACCCACATCACCCCCATCCGAGATCCCTGAGGGTAGCCACCCAACTCTTCTGGGTGTAAAGTTCTCGGAAACTTACAAATTCAAATCGTAACATCTGTACGCTGTGGCATGACCCTCATACTGTACTTGATTCAATTCAGGTCTCGCAACAGCTAAAGCTGTGGAGCAGCTGTTAAGCACTCCTGGCCTGTTACAAGAGGCCCATGGTTTCAAATCCACAGGGAGCTTGCCCTCCTGCAAGGAACATCACTCGGAGTTAAAGGATTATATAAAATATTTTATCTAGTCACTTACCACACAGTGAGAACCATCACGTCAACCTAGGATGTACAGTCGACACAGAAAAGACGAATACCACAGGGCACACATCGAGTACACAACTGCTCGAGACTCTTTGCCTGTCAAGTCTTTGTCTTGGTTTAGATGTGAAGAAAACGCACTTGTTCACAAAATCTGCTTCCCAGTGAAGACACAGGGCACTTGCTGCAGGAGCAGCTATTATTAACATTACCAATCATAACGTTTTCACTATGCAGCATATCCACCTCCTGCAAAGGAAGTCCCATTTTATGTTTTACACAGGCACTTACTGCATTCTCATAAATTCATGTTTAATGCCACAACAAACTAAAACTGTACGACATCCCTCAGAAGAACACATCTCAGACAAACTGCCGATAGACTGGCTTTGTAACATCAAGACAATAAAATATGTGTTTTTATTATATCATATAAATTTATCTATTTTACAAACAACTACACTCCATACACAAGTCGTCTTTATAACATCTGTGCTATACTGGCTATGGACATTTGACTAGCTTTCTTGCTATAAAAAAAAAGTTATGAACATCTCACAACCTCAAACAGCTGTGGGAAATCAAATCTTCCCTTCTGTAGTTAATTAATAAAATGGATAAAAGGGTAAACTGACAAAATTGGATGGATTACAGTTTCTTTCTTCATCCAAACACTAAATACATCTTCACACGCTGCTCTCAGTGTTTTGTTTTCTTGAATCCCAAGGATCATGGTTGCTGAACCTGAAACCAGTCTGCGAATCTAACCTTTAAAGGGACTGCAGGACGTCTGACGCAATCCTGTGATCAAATATTAAAGTTCACCTAACGTTTTTTTTTGGTTCAGAAAAAACGTTTCTGTGCTCCAGTGAAGGACAGCGCGGTCAGGCCCAGCACCAACGGCGGTCTGGCACCCAACACGCGCAGCAAAGCAGGAGGTGGTGTCCCACACCTTCGGAAGGCAGGATTGTCACCATCCCTGCCGTTACTTTCTGGTAAAGTGTCAACTGCAACTTTCTAACAGGACTCAGGGCCCATCAAGGCTTTAAAGTATCACCACCCTGGTAACCCTTCACACACACGCCTTTAAAATAAGATCACTTGGATCATTTTCTTCCATGACCTTCGACTATCTTTTAAACTGTAGCCGATGTGGACAATATACACAGAGTGGCGTGTCTCCGTCATACAGCGGGAAACACGCCTGGTCAGTGTTCCTCCCGTCCAGCTCGTGAACTGGGGGTTCGGCCTGTCCAGCTCGTGAACTGAGCCGGCTGCACGCCGCGTTCAAACCATTTCAGCTCAGCGACCCGCGCGGCTGGCCAAGACTGGGAATGAGTGTGAACCCTGTGCCACGTGCAGGCTTCCAGTCTTCACCTCCCTCAGACTGGCGGGTGCAGGTGTTGGTTTGACCTCTGGGCCAACTGGCCCATGATGCTCAAAGGAGACGTATCCTTAGCCTACGTGACAGGCTGTTACTGTTGTTCCTACCTCTGGCCGCACGTCACTTATAAACAAACAATAAGAGTTGTTTACAAATTCACAGGGGAGCAACAACTTTAAACCAAGCTGAAGCAGAGATCTTCTCACTGGGTTTCTCGATTTCTTGGAAATGACGCACGTAAAGGAGATGATATGTTAGACTGAGGTGAGAGAACAGTTAGGCTAGGTCCTGTTAGGAACAGGAATGGGAAACAATGGCAGGCGATTGTAACGCACTTGCTACTTAGCCATGTTCGCCAAGATAACAAACCAGAAGTTTCTAGGGGTCTGCCGCCCTCTGCTGGCCATTCTTCGTAAAGCACAGAATGTTTTCCCCTTGTGCAGTGGGCAGGAGTGTTCACTTACAGTATATTTTAATCTCACAGTAGGTACTTCCAAGTATCCTACCATGCTGGCACACCTCACTGAACTGCAAGTCCACTAGCTTAAATCACAACCACTCCTAACAGTCGGTGCTTGGAACTGTAAAGCTCAACAGCAAGCTCTTTTAAAAGCACAGAGGCATGACTGAAGCCAAACGGACATTGATCAAGACATAAAAATGTGATTGAGTCAACAGCAGATAAAACGGTATATAGTTCCAGGTCATTGCGTGTTAATGACCAAGTTTAAATCCACAGAAGCACAGCTATAAACAGGAAAAATACTGTCAACAACTGATGACTACAAATGTCATGTTTCATCAGGATTTGAGGCAATTCTTCCCTCTTCTAGAAAACCTGTTGATAATTTGCTTTCTGATTCCGCACCAAAAGGGGTTTTATGTGCATTTTTTCAGGAATTAAACACTTCTGAAAGAACATGTCAGCGACATTTCCACTCCTGGTATCAAAAATAGAATCTGTAAGTATTCTGTAAAGACCACCAGTGTGGAAAACAGGACAGGAAGAGGTTCGGATGAGACGTTTTCACTTTGCTTGCTGTTCCTTGGAGTGTCCAGAGATCAGAGGGGCTCAAATGAGTGCAACAGGCCTGTGGGGCGATTGGGCTCCTTTGTTCCCCACTCGCTAAAGAAATGAGCTACCACAGGTCACTGACCATGACAGACTAGGATCATGCCGTTCCAGCACGATACTTTCTGAATTTCCTTTGGGCCTTCGCTAACCTACAGGCAGCAGTCACAGAACTGGCACTCTAATTAAAACGCACCCTGCAAGGGTTCAGTTGCGACCGCCCAGCAGCATCTGTGTGTCTTTTTTTATAGGCCTGCGAGATCGTCTTGTACACAGGCTGCTTCTTGTTGCTCACTGTTCACCACGACCCACACTGCTCAGTTATAATCCTTACCCTGAGCCTGTGAACTGTGCACACGTAAGAGGGATAAAAAAAATTCACCGCCCATTAGCCATTCCTTCGGAAAACACAGTATTTCCCATCATATTTCAAAAAGGAGAGAATATTTGAAGTTTAAAGGGGAAATTGAATGGTGAACAGTGTTCACATTAGCATTAGGTACAGTTCAATAAGAACACTGCCTGTTCTGAATGAAGGCTGAACTAGGTAAGAGGTGAAATTGTACTAAGAGAAAAGATCTTGTATCTATGATCCAAATCACGCTGTGCTTTTTCTTCGTGTCAGAACTGAGCTTGGTCCACTCTGACGGAGCCACAGTGACCGGAAGAAAGCGCTGTCCGCCCAGGGCCTCTCTGCTGCAGTAATGGCCGACAGGAAACCAGGCTCAGGGCAAAGAGGGGAACTGGAGGAGGAGCAGCGTTTGAAAAGGATCACCAGCTTTATGTCGGCTTTCCAAGCCTTCATGGATTCGGTGCTGTGCTCCCACGTTTGGCCTCTTGGCCGATTCCTGTCTGAGCTTTTTCCCCTTTTCATATTTTCCTCTCCATCCATCTCTTCTTACTTCAGTGAGCCTGTCCAAGGCCGGCGGCACGAAGCCACCTGCTGCCTCCTGTCAGTGCGTTCCTGCACTCGCATCAGGAGGCGAGGAAAAACAAAAGCACATGACATTCTGCATGAAGCAGGCACTTCTAATAATGAAGACTAAAGGCTGCCTATTCGGACACAGTAAACTCATAGCCGGAATCGTTAAGCTCTTTCTGGGACTCTTTCCTCGTGTTGCTCGCGCTCGGGTCCCGAAGCGTTGCGCCGCGCTGCACGGACGCGCGGCCTGCAACCTTGGCGCTAGAGGACAGGAAGGAACGGTGCTAACCCACGAGGAGGCTGAGGGGCGGCGCGCAGGACGGGAAGGCCCCCAGCAGCTCCAGCAGCGTGAGGCCCGGGTCCCTGACGAAGCGGCTGTAGTCCGCGGAGCCCTGCTTGCTGCACAGCTCCAGCAGGCGGCGCTGCTCAGCGGCATCCGTCGTGCAGTCCACCAGGGCACGGAGGAAGGCCTGCAGAGGAACCGGGGGGAGATTATTATTACAGGCGCTGCCTGAGCCAAGCCGAACAGCAAAAGGACCCAGAACGGTCTGAAGACATTGACCGAAACCAGCTTCCGCCAACCACAGTGCCAACGTGTGCCCCAGGGACATTCTCTCTCTTGACTGCTTTAGGAATCAACACAAATTGCAGCTAAAAATCAAGATATAAGCAGGGCTCTGGCCTTTTTCGACTGCCTACCTTCTTGGGGACGCTTGTAATCTCCAAGCACCAGGTGAGAAGGCAGTGCAGTGTGGCGTTCTCGGGAATGTAAGAGGGGATCTGAGCTGCTGTTGAGACACAAGAACACCAAACAATCCGTCATCCTTGGAAAGTCAGAGGAAGGGGCTGCTCTTAAGGGCTGTAAGCAATTATGTTCTTCATATTTTTAACTTTGTATTTAAATTCATCTAGACAGTAAATGAGCCAGGAAGCCATTTCAATCAGTTTTTGAAGACGTTACCCCCCTTAAATCCTCCGGTTCAAGGAGCCACGTCCCTGCAGCCCCCAGCTGGGACTGGAGAGTGACACAGTCTGGATACGGACATCAGATCCCCGGAGCAAGGACTCAACATGCAGCCCTGTCTGCGCGAGGTGACTGGACCGTATGAGTACAATCTGTGCGGATCTCTGCTGCCTGCCTTCTCTGGAGGGGAAGGGCACGGCACGGAAATGGCTGAATTAACAGTGTTGGGGCTCCCTGTGTGCGTGCTGGGAAGAGGTAGCAAAATCCCCATCTGTTTTTTTCTTCTTCTAAATAGGACAGTAATTAAAAATAAAGGTTTGAAATTTCCTGCTGTTTTACCACAACAAATGCAATCTGGGAAGCTTCTTCTTTGTATGATAATCAGCTGACAGCTCAAACTATCATAAACTACTAAAGGCTATTTCACTATAATGATGTTATATAAATATAATGTTTTTTTCTTCTGTAAGCTAATAATTCCCTACACTTCTACAGCACTTTTCTGGGCACTCCACTCAAAGCGCTTTATAGGTAATGGGGATCCCCTCCAACACCACCTGGATGATGCGCTAGTCCACTCCCCACACACCAGCTCTCAGTGGGGAGGAGAGCAGAGTGATGAAGCCAGTTCAGAGATGGGGATTATTAGGAGGCCATGATTGGTAAAGGCCAGGGGACATTTGTCAGGAGACCGGGGTAACACCCCTACTCTTTTCGAGAAACATCCTGGGATTTTTAATGAGCACAGAGAGTCAGGGCCTCTGTTTTACTGCTCATCCGTAGGACGGCGCCTCTTTATAGTATAGCGTCCCCGTCATTAGGACCCACACAGACCGGACCCCAGGGGGAACTGGTGCGCAGCTCCAGGGGTCCCCAACGCGGACAGCACTGGCGCAGCCCTGTCCGCACGGCAGGGCCTGGGCTGCACCCCCCACAGGCCCCTCCAACAGCTCAGCCCCAGGACAGGGTACCCAGCCCGTCCCTGGCGAGACGGCGCAGGCCTTACCCCTCTTCCTGGTTTGGGGGAGCAGCTGCAGGCGGACGCGGTGACCCCTCCTGGCGGCCAGGCCCAGCCGCTGCAGCAGCCCCTCCACCTGCGTCGTGGGGTTGGGGCAGAACACGTGGAAGGAGTCCCCGGGCTCGTAGGAGAAGGGCGTCCCCTGTGGAGAGGGGAGACGGGAGAGAGATTGCAGAAGCCACCTGCAGAGGCCAGGTCTCGTCCCCGCGCCCCCCCACAGCAGACTGGGAACTGGGCAAGCGGACACCTCCTGCTCATGAAGCCTTAACCATTTCATGCTTGACTGACACTTCAGGCATGATGAAGTGATACAGTATGTGAAAAGGCTGCAGCACCTTCCTGTAAGGAGTATGACCGAGACTGACACCCAGCAAAAACCACCGCGGAATCCCTTTCATTCTCCGCGTAAGGAAGACACGGGAGATCTCTACTAAGCATTTCACTCTCTGCGTTTCAACGCGGCAGCGTGGAGGAGTGGGCAGGGCTCTGGCCCAGCAAGCAGGGACACCCCTGGGTGGGATGCTAATGAGCGACACACCCAGCCTACAGACTGCAAAAGTAGGCTGCTCAGCCAAATTAATCAAACACGCCCACGACTGCTGAAGGGCAGCTCTTATTCTATATTTAGGGGGATATCAGTGTATTAATCACGTACTGCAATCTCCAATTCCAGCAGCAGGGCTGTTTTCACAGCGTCCTCTCGTGTCAGCTGCTCTGCCCTCGTGACGGACACCTGGTGCACAGGCTCCTCGGCACACGGGCCATCGCCGTCCTGCAGAAGGAGAGAACGGCCCAGCCACTTCAAAAGCCATTCCTCCCACCACAGCCCTGGGGTCTTTTAACCAGCAACCTCCAAAACCGCCACACGAGGACTTTGAATCCATCCGATCATCTGCCGACCATCCCATGATCGTATAGGCGAAAGCGCACCAGGGCTGGCCACTTGAAAGCGATGGAAGCATCTGTACAAGCTCTCCGAAGATTGCACCGAGATCCGTTAAACAGTTAAGGTTTGTTAGCTCCCGCATGCGGAACGAAAATCAGCACACACTTCAGCCTTAAAGGAACAGAGCACATTACTTAATAACTATATCAATGACTAAAAGAGGTTCCTAATCTCTAAAAATAAGCGATTTAAGGGAACCTGTCATTCTCAGTAGATTGGGGCTTTAAGACATCTAATGTTTTTACATTTCCCAATCGCCTGTCCCCACACAGGCTCAGTCAACAGAAGACTCTGTTCCTAATTCTGTTCGCCTTGTTTTCCTACACCTCCCCGCTCTGTCCCAGCCCCGCAGCAAGACCGGAGACAGGCAGGAGAGCAGCACCGTTCCCAGCAGCTCCAGTGGCTCCAGCAGCTCCGCGCTCAGGAACGGGGGCGGCAGGGCGGGCACGCCGAGGGCCGACTCGGACAGCGGAGGGACGGACGCGTGCAGAGAGGCCTCAAGGGGCGCCGTCTCGGCGTCTGACTCCGGGACCGCAGGGCTTGGGCCCGCCGAGTCGTTCAGCGCCAGGAACTGGATCTTCAAGTCCAGGCCCGAGCGATCTGCCTCCCCGGGGTCCGGCGCACAGCCCCTCCTCTCTGGGGCGGCAGACATGTCTGACAGGGCTTTCCTCATGGCCTCCCACAGTCCTTCGATCCACGGGTCGACTACCAGCTCCAGCCTGCGGCGAGGGGCAGACATCCGTCAGAAGACCAGATTGCTGTCGAAATGGCAAATCTAACACATTTCCACAGTCACACCCCTGCACAGCGTTGCCTATGTCACACACGAGCTTGCAGAACTTAGCCACAGCCACAGTGCGCTTTAATTCTCACCACTGTGGAATCAAATGCGAACCTGTGAAAAATGATTCTGCCCGAGAGGACAAGGTCAGACCACCAAGCCAAGTCACTGCTTCCCTTTCAGCCTCTTCAGGAGGGGAGACTGTAATAATTCCCTACATTTAAAATTTACCCAGACTTCTCGAGTGGCAAAATGAAAACAAGACGTATACAGGGTGCATCTGTATAAAGACATTTAGACAATGTAATGGTTAATTTTTAATGAGGTTCTGAATTAAGTAATACGCTAAAGGCAAGGGAAAATTCACTATGTGAGGTGCACATGTAGCCCTTAGTGAAGCTACCTAACAGAAGGCCAACACCCCTTCTCAACAACATACCAGGGGGGTTCTTTACTTCTATATTTGCCAGAACATTTTCAGCAGGACTGCTGCTGCCTCCACTAGAGCAGAATGGGCTGAAAGCCGGCGTGCTTGTACAGGTTATAACCCACGAGCTCTTACCCCACACCGTCATCAGCGTGTCCGGTTGCATAGAACTGCTGGGCACCAAGTTCCCGAAGACGCTTGTCAATAGTTTTCCCACAGTTGCAGAAATGCGGATAGTTTGAATCACCTAAAGCTTCAGTGAGAATGGAAATTAGAACTGGGGGGCGGGTCGTTTTTATGTTACAGTTCGATGCCACCAGCACGACCAGAAGCCCTTACAGTGTTTCAGCCTGGGAAGCTGGGTAGGGACTTACTGAGCACCGTCTCTCAATTTCCTTTAGCTGACACGCTAACTGAATCAGGGCGGCTGGGGCACCAAGAACTGACTTTGCTTCTGCTCTAAAGAACCCGTTTCCATTCCCGTTTAAGAACGGTCGGGAATCGGGAGTTTAAGGATTTTCCTCGACCACATATGGCCGGGCAGCTGGGAAATAAGAAACAAGTGGTCTAGGAGCAACCGCGGTATGTCTCACCTAGAAGCGCGTAGCGGAGATGGGCGCAGTGATCCGCCGGCAGCGTCTTCGCCCGGAGCCCCTTGACAAACCGCAGAGCCGTGTCCGGGGGCTCCCCGTCGCCCGTGGTCGACACCACAAACACCACGGGGGCGGTCTCCTTCTCCAGGTTATACTGGGGGGGGAGGTGGAAATGAGGCCCGGGGCTGCCCGCCCGCGCGCGGTTCCAGACCTGGCCTCGCCTGCAGCCGTCAGCTCTCCGGCAAGAGGAGAGACATGGAGACGGCACGGGGCACACTGGGACAGCTACACCCCCAACACACGCAACACACAGGCCTCAAACTAACTTCATTATAATAACAACATTTATTTTATATAGCGCCTTTAAAGGTTGCTTCTCGAAGCCCTTTACAGAATGACAACATCAACAAAATACACAAGAAATGCAGGATGAGAGCACGCAGTGAGGGGAGACAGTAGATGGGGGTACAGCAGGAGCAGGGGGGTACAGAACAGAACCGGTGGAGTAAAGGCTCTTTTAAAGAAGAGGGTTTTGAGTCTGGGTTTGAACCTTACAGACCGCCAAGCAAGTGACAGACACATTTGGACCAGACCCTCATTGGCCTTGCCTTGTCCTCTTGGCTCAGGCAGCAGATATCAGCGACGAGGCCGCGCTCGCCTGCCTGCTCGCCGATCTCTTCGGCGATGGCTTTGGCCTGCCCGCGCTGGGAGCCGTACAGCAGCAGGAAGCGGCTCTTCACCTGGCACGGCATGGCAAGGAACCTGGAACACAGCGGAGGGACTGTAAGAGGTTGGGGCGCGTGCCCACCCGGCAGCCAACACCCCCCCAGGACCAGACACAGAGCAGCCAGGGATGTCAGTGCGGTGCCCGGCTGAACGGCCACCATCTCCAGCTCAGCTGCGACAGGACCCAGGTAGTCTTCACTTAACCGTGAGCCGTCTAGAGCCAAGGCGAAGCTACAGTGAACTGGCCAAGACAGCCAGGAGCCTCCGTGATGTCATCGTTGTCACGCTCACACACGACGTCTCACCTGCGATTCCTCCAGTATGCGGTATACAGTATCCGGAATGCAGTAAACAGTATCTGGAGGATGGGGGTTTTCCTGACCACCTGCCCAACAGCTCGTCGTCTTGTACCTCGTTTAGGTACTGGTCAGCTCACAGCTGGTCTACTGCAGAGGAGGACTCGGGGCAGTCCAGCTCAAAGAGAAGGATGTATCACAGGTTTCATCCCACTGAAACACTCTTGTGTTTCTCGCAGCTTGTCTCTCTATACTGGCTGCTGGTCCCGGGCTGAAAATCAAACAACGCTGGTGCCAGCCTGCAGCAACAGCAGCCGGCCGACCTCCTGACACCTGAGATCTGCTTTCTCAGGGCAACTGGCAACACCACTGCTGAGAGGCTGCGAGTCCCAGACTGACAGCACTCTGTGCTGCCCCCTAGTGGTGGAACATGTACTTATTCGCTCCAGTCAGAATCTCCAACTCATTCGCCACCTCGCAAAGAAACTGAACACTCTCTGAATCTCTTCAGGATTTATCTGAGCCCAGAAGCACATGACTGATCCCCACTTACTGTCTCTGCTCTATTTTTACTGCTTCCTCTGTCAAGCAGCACTGACCCATTTCTTTAACTGTGCAGCTCTGACCATGTTAATACTTAATGACCACCACTCTCACCTTTTTCTTTTGCTTTTCCTGTCTCACAGTGTGAACTCTTATACATGCCCTTTGCATCTCGACCAGGTGCAATTGTATTATTCTTTTAAAAAAGGCCTCTGCCAGATGAAAAAAGGACATTTTAGATTTGTCACTTGACATACTAAGGTTTCCAAGAACAAAAGCCTGTAAGTGGACATATTCACATCTTAATGTGGAAACGCAGATAAACAGCCCAGATCTTTAAAAACAATAAACGGTCATTGTTTCATAAGGTAGTAAATGATGTCCTTGCCTTAAGGACGTGCAGAGCATAATGAACACTGGAGACAGTATCCCTAATCCTCTTTTGCACACATTATGGACAGGAAAGGGGTTTGTGTGACTTAGACCTGAGCTTTCTTAGTCAGTGTCAAACCACCACAAGTATATGGAAAGGGTTAAGTGACTAATTATCATAATCAGCAACAAAATCACTTTCCCAGGTAATAGGAAAAAAGAAATTGCAACAGCAGAATGGCAGATCAAGGACAACCGCGAGTCAAATGTAATTTATACACGTTATGCACAGCTGCAGTAACGACCAGGAACTGGCAGATGCCAAATTAGCTTTGGATGTTAAGTAATTCTGGCATCTGCTTGGTCAAGTGTCCACAGACACCTGGGCAGATGGTGAATCAGAAAGACTTTTAAGAAGCATCACACTAATAGAGAGTGAAAAGGTGATGAGTCCAGAATACAAATACAAAGAAAGCTTAGTTTAAATATGACACCAATCATGCGAAACAATGCCGAGAACACAGGGCCCAGATCTGCATGAGAGATAAACATAAGATTGGAAAAGACACAGATCTGTTTGTACACAAAGCAAATAATTGCATTAATAATATACATACAGGGCACACAAATGCAAGACTCAACAACTGAAATATTGTGTTTCTCCTTTCTGGTTTTTACTGTGGAATTAACTTTTACATTTTTTCGCACAAGAATAAGAAACGAGAGAGGGTTCTTAATAATGCCAAGGTTGCGGGTTCGATCCTGCACAGCCCAGCAGTTCCACATGTTGCTGCTAACGGGCTGGATGGACCTCCTCGTGCTCGGGACCTATCTTACATCCTCACGCCTCTCAAAGTGTGCCGACAGCTCCAGGGCAAGCCCAGGCTGGCTACAGAGGTATGAGGGAGAACACAAGGCTCTTCCTGGAAGGTACGATGCCTCTCGATTGCGACACTGGTGTCAGTAATCAGTCTAGCGCGTGTGGGGCTGCAGGCTTGTGATTAAGTCCTCCTCCTGGCTAGCAGGAGGGAAAGCAGTAAGAGAACCGCTCGATTTCAGGTGAAATTTCATTTCATTTCTCTTGTGACTGTGCAATCTTTTCAGATCTATGGAATATTTGTTTTAATCCTTTTTAACTGCCCCTTTTCCAGTGTTTAAGCTCAGTCCCTGTAAGTGCTGCTTTGGGTTTCTGACGTTTGTATTTTACTTTGGACTTGAAGACACCTGAGCAGAAGGTAAGGCAGAAAAACGTTTTAGGAGCATTGCACTATTAGTGAGTGAAAAGAAAAGAAGATGAATCCAGAATTCAAATGCTAAAAAACTTTTATTTTAATCTTACGGCAATCATGCACCCTCTGTCAAAGTTTACACATTTGAAAAGCGATCATGATTTTCCAGTCAAATGATTTGCCTTTTTCACACAAGCTTGTATTTTAATATGAGATCTGTCATTTCAATGTACTATTTGCTTGTTTGGGTGATTTCACACTGACGCACTTCACTGGTTTTGTATTTGTCTGTTCACAAACACTACATACAATCAATAGGCTTCTCTTCCAGCTACAGAGTTTATATTCAGACACTTTTAGCGGCCTCTCTGGAAACTGATACAGGGTTCTTAAAAGAGAAAGGCAAGACCACACAAACACCATTTTAGCTGCACAAAGCAGAATAGCAAAATACTGTAGAACGTATGGAAAAGTACATAACTCTTTAACAACTTCAGAACTACAGTGTGCACATGAGATTAGGATAAGAACTGCTTAAAGATATTTAGACAAACTTTCACGATGTATTACGCAAACCACACATCAGAAGGAATATTTGAAGACTGTTTCTGTGTCCCGTGTCTCTGGATAATTTATCCAGCCACGCATTCAACTCTCTGGAAGACGCCCATCTAATTTGATTAACTTTCCGTCACTTAAACCGAAAAGCAGTAGTTCTGGCTTGGGAAACAGGAGTTTGGCTGTTTCATAACACATTGACATGCGAAACCCCTTTGGCTTCGTGCGCTGCTAAACTGCACACCACGACTCCAGCAACATTCTGCTAGCAAAACAGAACTTCCTCAGACAGCGGTGTAAAAAACGACAAATCATTTTATTTCGGACAAGATATCAAAGCGAGGAGAAGCACTACTGCAGATAACAGCATGGACTGGTGACAGCACTTCAGTGCCTCAAGAAACGTCAATCGCCTTGAGGAGTCTACCTCACAGTGTTCCTACATCTTTGCATTGATTTACAATCAATTATTTATATTTCTATTATTTTAGAAAAGTGTGACGTATGGTTTATTTTACTAAATCGTACATTACATGTTAGATGTTTTACTTTATCGAGTTATTAACTCAATCTTAAACGCAAGACAAAACACAATAGTGTAATGGTTTGTATTCAAATGGTACACTGGTCTCCACAGACACGAGTGCCCCCAGTGATTATTACACAAGGATATTCTGGTGCCACAAGCCACTCCACACAAGTGTACAAGCGAGCCACATCAAGTACAAAACGAAATGACTTCACATCCTCACGTTTAGTGAGGTAATCTAGTTCATCTTCGGATACCTACAGTCTTGGTTGTGTTGGGGTTTGTTTTAACAAGAATCGCTTCTGTTGTCTTAAGAAAAGTTTTGACTAGACGAGCCGATGCAGTGGAGATATAAGAGATCGCAACAGCAAACAACAGTGAGTGCTTCTCGGCCGCTGACAAGGACTTGAGCCGTCCATCAGCAACAAACATATCGCTCTTGTCGATATGCCAGTAGACGGTAAATGCTATTATAAATCACACAGGCAGCACGATACAGAATCGAAAGAAACCCCCTCTGCACAGCCCTGTCACCTTCAGCTGCACCGTCACTCGGGGGGCAGTAACTATAAAACGACAGCAAAACTCACCCGAAAGGGCCAGGAGCTTCCAAAAACTCACAAGCACGCCTGCAATCTCTCCTGGGTTGTGTAACATTATGAAGCACTGCTAGCGCAAAACGTGGCCCCCTCCGGTTCAGCCCCATGTGCCGGAAGCCGGCTCCGGACTATGACGTCACTGTTCGGCGCCCACGCCCAGCTGCGCTGAGGTTATCGGGAAACACATCGCATGTGTTTCGTCAAGATAGGGGCGAGTGATGCTGAGTAGGGGTACATCGGGTACATTTGTTCGAGTCTGCTCCAGGAATGTTTGTGATAGCAGATATAAGAAAATCACCTAATAAACTGAAGGTGCGCCCTGAAGATAACTACGTCAAAACAAGTGTGGTGACGTAGTAAAAAGCACATCTAATCAGTTCATTTGAAGGGGAGCCCACAGGGTTTCAAGCTGTTTCGAAGCATTTTCTGTTCTGCTACATTTATCAAATGAAGAGCTGTACCTTTTCTCTGTTTTGTGAAACTATGATGTCAAGCCAGGTCGTCATTGTCAAAGAAAATCTATCCTTAATACATTTAAATGGTTAATTAAAGTACTATTGTTGTTGTTATTTAGTCATTGTCATCATCAGGAGTACGTTCAGTATTTCTTAAATGGTTAAGCAAAGGATTTAAGTCAGCGGAGAGCAAAATTCCTATTTCAGCAGAGCTGTGTAAATGCACACAGAGCTGACATCCTCATGGCAATTACCCATGGAATTTACTGCAACTGTCATGATAACTGAGCAGAACTATATGGAGACGTGAAGATGTTCAAACCTTAGAAAGAGACAGAAACCAATATGGAAGAGCATCACTGGTGTTTTAACCTTGACAATAATACCTTGAGCTAAAAGCTTAGACAACAGGGGTGGGAAGCTTGTTCCAGACTCCCACCACCCTTTATGTAAAGATGTACCTCCTGTTCTCAGTTTTAAACACACTTTTTCGGAGTTTCCACTTTTCACCTCAAGTTCACGTGTCACCGTTGAATCTGAAGAAGCTCAGTGGACTATTAATGCCATTGAACACCTGAATCCAGTGTTGTGGCTAAATTCCCCTCTGGACTCATTCTGACACTCCTAAAGTAACAGAAAATCCTTACTTCAGTTTATTTCTAAGAGAATTATTATTATTATTATTATTAACAATAATAATAATTCCTTACACTTATATAGCGCTTTTCTGGTCACTCCACTCAAAGTGCTTTACAGGTAATGGGGATCCCCTCCACCACCGCCAGTGTGCAGCCCCACCTGGATGATGCTCCAGTACTCTCCCCACACACCAGCTCTCAGTGAGGAGGAGAGCAGAGTAAATTATACAACAAATTTGGCTTGGGCTACTTTTTTCAAGAAATGTCCCGGGTGTTTTAATGATCATGGAGAATCAGGACCTCGGTTTTACATCTTATCAAGGGGACAACATGGTAGTGTCTCCATCAGTATACTGGGAAACTAGGATCTACACAGACTCCCTACTGAGCCTATTTACACCACTTCCAGCAGCAATTTTAGTTTTTCCCAGGAGGTCTCCAGCTAGGTACTGGCCAGACTCACACCTGCTGAGCTTCAGTGGGCTGCTGGCTGGGAGTTGCAGGGTGACATAGCTGTTGGCAATTTCTCCTCCAGCTGACTAACTGTGCAGTGGGCCTACTACTGCCAAAATGTAGAAACTAGTGCCTACTAGTCCTGTTCTTTTGTTCATGTCATGTTTTTGGTGGCTTTGTTTTTATTAGAAAAGCTATAGAAGTGATAGGAGTAATGATTATTGTAAATGAAAATGATAGTGCCCAACATGATATATAACAGCTTGATGTAACATTGTGTCAGATGTGGTAGGGTTAAATACTTAATCGTCTGTCTTAAAAAAAAAAGTATTGTACAGTGTTATTAATATAATTCAACATCAGAAAAGTATTGTATTCATATATAGTGCATTATGTGATATCTAAATATTAGAATGTATTATTAGCTTTCAAAGTTCTGTACTTTTGTGTAACATCTAAAACATAAAAAACAAGTATAGCTTAATTTTATGAGACTATTATCTATAATAATCTGCAAAGGAACTAGTGATAGGTTTATTACATGCTGAAAAGAGAAGAAAGAAAACACAACGTTTCGGCCATGGAGCCTTCTTCAGTTGTGAGGTGAGGTGTGCTATACTGATCTGTAGCGGTGAAATGACTTTTGAAACATTACAGTTATACCTAGGCAAGATGGCGTCTATAAACGCCTATAAAAGAGCCAATCTAATCCATTTTTTTCTATGGCAATCCCAGCAATCCCAGCTCTTATCTCGTTGCAATCCATAGTTCACGCGAGATTAGAAGGGACCATTTTGGGTGAAGTACTGTTTCAAACGCATTTATCTATATGTTATTCCTGTGATATGCAGATCATATAAAAAAAAGAATGAATCAATCTCGCGACAACACTAGTGATTTTTTCTCATTTTTCCTACAGACACCTAAAGGAAAATAATTAAGTATATTGAACCCCCCCTCTCTGCGAGTTTGGTCTCGGCTCCGCTCTCCCTGCGACAGTTCCAGAAGCCGCCGGTACTCCCGCACCGCGAGGCCGTTTCACGCAGCGTGGTGTGCGCGTCCTGCTCTCGGCTTTTTTGTGCAGAAAGGAAACTAAGCGCTCCATCGGCCTCCAGCATGTCTACCCTGGGGACCCTCGCCTTCGACGAGTATGGCCGGCCTTTCATCATCATCAAGGACCAGGACAAGAAGTCTCGCATGTCGGGCCTGGACGCGCTGAAGGTACAAAGGGGCCGGCGGGGGTCGCCACGCCTGCGGGCAGGATGAGCTCTCGGCGGGCGCCCGTCTCCAGCGCCGCTGTCGGGCGAAGGGGGCTGTGTCTGTGTCTGCCATAGCGGCCCCGGCTCCCCGGCCCCGGCTCTGTGGCAGAAACTAGGGCGCGGCAGGGAGCGAGCACGCCGGTGCTGGGGGGTGGGGGTGCCGCCGGCTCTGGGCTCCCCGGTGTTCAGACGCGGGGCCGAGCCCCTGTGCCGCCTGTCCGAGCGGCTGGCCCGCCTGCCTTTCCTTCTCCGGTTTGCGGCCTCCGCCACTGCAGCGCGGCTGTAAGCCCGCGGGGATAAATGCCTGAATGAGCTAACCTGCGTGTTGGGTTTTCTGAAGCGGCTTTTTGCGTCCAAACGCCACGATGACGCAGCTGTTTAAAGGCATCGGCCGGCCAGGGCTGTTTGGCTTCTCAGCGCGGTTCTGACTCCGGGCTCTCCTTTGTTTCAGTCGCACATCATGGCCGCCAAGGCCGTGGCCAACACGCTGAAGACGTCCCTGGGGCCCAACGGTAAGCCGCCTGCCTGTGTCCCCAGCGCCAGCGGCGGGGCCGGGCACGCTGGGGGCTGACGGCCTGTCCTCTTCCAGGGCTCGACAAGATGATGGTGGACAAGGATGGCGAGGTGACGGTCACCAACGACGGGGCGACCATCCTGAGCCTGATGGACGTGGACCACCAGATCGCCAAGCTCATGGTCGAGCTGTCCAAGTCCCAGGACGACGAGATCGGCGACGGGACCACGGGGGTAGTGGGTATGTAGAAGCCTGGGGTGGCCCCTGGCTTCCGCGTGACAGCTGGGGTTCCCCTGTGTGTGGCTCGTTCGGGCTGTGAGTGCGGAGCTGCCTTCTCTCCTGTGCGGTACCTGAGTGTTGGCGCTCTCTCCCTCCCCACCGCCTCCAGTGCTGGCCGGCGCCCTGCTGGAACAGGCCGAGCAGCTGCTGGACCGCGGCATCCACCCCATCCGGATAGCGGACGGCTACGACCAGGCGGCCCGCGTCGCCATCGAGCAGCTCGACCGCATCGGCGACAGCTTCCCCGTGGACCCCGGTAACACGGAGCCGCTGGTCCAGACGGCCATGACCACGCTGGGCTCGAAAGTGTGAGTGTCCCTCCGCCGACGCGCTAACTTGGTGTGTGTGAAGTTTGTGGGACAGGGCTGCACTTCCAGAAGCACGCCTGTCGTTCTGGGCCTTGTTACTGTGGAGTGGAAGAGCAAGCGTTACTTATAGGTAGATGTCTGCTGGTCCCTGTTTCTTAGGTTTTATAAAACTGTTTGGCTGGTGCTATTGGCAAAAGCAGTGCACGTGTGAAAAACTGTTCAGAAGCTCTCCAGCTGAAGTTCTGGCTCCTAGCGATATTAAAAGCTCAGAGTAGATTGGAAGCCTCCCTCTGTCTCTGAATTTGTCCTGCATTGTGTCCCAGTCTTGCTCTGTGGCCCTGTTCCACAGTCAGGCTTGTAGTTCTTAAAAGACTCGTTGCCCCTGTCGGAGGCAGCAAGGGCCTTTCGTCTTGGTCTTCGCTAAAAGAGCATTTAACTACAGATAAAAAAAGATGGTTGACTGCTACTTGTGGACACGTTTATCGATCTTACAGGTTCGCTTTTACGTCTCCGGGCCTCGGGGGGGGTACTGGGCTGTTGCGCGGCGCTTGGCCCGTTTCTCATGAGCCCATCTCACTTGTTTCAGCATCAACCGGTGCCACAGGCAGATGGCGGAGATCGCCGTCAATGCCATCTTGACAGTTGCAGACATGGACAGGAAGGACGTTGACTTTGAGCTCATCAAGGTGGAGGGCAAGGTTGGTGGGAAACTGGAGGACACGCAGCTAATCAAGGGCGTGATTGTGGACAAAGAGTTCAGCCACCCTCAGATGCCCAAGGTTAGTTGGGATTGCTTTTGCTGTTTTTTTTTTAGTCTTGGATCTTGGCTTTTTTTCTTGCAGAGGTCCTGATTGTCGTTGGTGGTCTTTTCCAGGTTCTAAAAGATGCAAAAATCGCTATCCTTACCTGTCCCTTTGAGCCACCCAAACCTAAAACTAAGCATAAGCTTGATGTGACCTCTGTTGAAGATTACAAAGCCCTGCAGAAGTATGAAAAAGAGAAGTTTGAAGAAATGATACACCAGGTTAGTGTGATTTTTTTTTTGAGCTGTCTTATCAATCACCGCGTCAAAGCACAGGTTGGGATTGTCGGTCTAGTTACAATGGTGTCTGTAAGACTTGGTGAACAGCAGCATATTATCTGTTTTGTGATCGTTGACAGTTACAATTCTGATGGCATTGTGTGCATTGGAGCATGCCGATTTATTGCAGTCACTAGTTCCTAACTTATGTTAATTTCAAACAGGTTAAAGACAATGGAGCTAACCTTGCCATTTGTCAGTGGGGATTCGATGATGAAGCCAATCACCTGCTGCTTCAGAATCAGTTACCTGCTATCCGTTGGGTTGGTGGCCCCGAAATTGAGGTAAGCAGTGTGGATGCAATGTCACAGGATTTCTGACCCTGCAGCTTTGCTAGTCTTTTCTATTTTTATTGAATTCTTTCTTCACAACATAGCAAAAGTTAAAGCTGAATTACCTGAAGGACTTCTTAAAAATTGAGATTTTGATTCATGCATCTTAAATGACATTTTCATAAGTTGCTCTTTAATCCTTACGTTCTTCTTGGTGGCTTTTCACTGTCTTCCTGAGACCTAATCCTTAGTGTCCATGCTCATTTTCTTCAGCTAATCGCTATCGCAACTGGGGGACGCATTGTTCCCAGATTCTGTGAGCTCACGCCGGAGAAGCTTGGCTCAGCGGGAATTGTGAGAGAGCTCTCTTTCGGCACAACGAAAGACAGAATGCTGGTTATAGAGGAGTGCAAGAACTCCAGGGCTGTGACCATCTTCATCCGAGGAGGAAACAAAATGGTGAGGAAAGATGAGGACCCCAAGATTTTGTGTCTGAACTGTCTTATGAACTTTCCATTTTATGTTCGGAAAAACTTTTACTGTTGGGAAATGATTCTCTATTTAGTAACATGTTACTAAGGGCCTTGCTCAGGGGCCCAACAGAGTAGGGATTCCTCTGCTAGCCATGGGATACGAACCGGATACCTTCCAGCCACAGGCGCAGATCCTGAGCCACAGAGCCACCGCTCCTCCCCTGATGGATAAACTTGAGTAAATTAACAGCGTAGTGTACTGTGTTCTAATGTTTTTAATTCTTTCACGTTACAGTGTTCTTGCTACTGGAGTTCTGGTTGTAACTTACTCTAGGGGGCCAAAGCATTCATCCTTAATACAGAAGCGGGGGTCACTAGGTTTGTTGTAACCTGCTGCTTCCTCGTCCTCAGATTATCGAAGAAGCCAAGCGCGCCCTCCACGATGCTGTGTGTGTGATCCGCAATCTGGTCAAGGACAACCGCATTGTGTACGGTGGCGGGGCTTCCGAGATCGCCTGCGCTTTAGCTGTTAATGAGGCAGCTGACAAGGTAACGGGACCAGAGTCTCAAACGGTTTACCAGTCCTTATTTCCAGCCATTGAGCATTTCTTCGGATTAGCTGTGATATGCTGCGTGCTGAATGCGCATCGGTCTCGCCTGTTGTTCTTATCCGTGTGTTTTGTCCTTCCGCAGTGTCCCTCTTTAGAGCAGTATGCAATGAGAGCCTTTGCCGATGCCTTAGAAGTCATTCCCATGGCACTGGCAGAGAACAGCGGTCTGAATCCCATCCAGACGATGACCGAGGTTCGAGCCAGACAAGTGAAAGAAAACAACCCTGCCCTTGGAATTGACTGTCTCAACCAGGGCACCAATGGCAAGTTTTCTGACTTTTATTTTTTTTTTACTCGAGTAACACCTTTATCTCTGATTATGAAAACTGCATCTGTGAGAGTAGTATTTGTGGCTGGTTCACTCCACTTATATAACCCCCTTAAGAAATTGGTTGTCAGCCTGTACCTGTGTACGTCTTTTTGCTAAACCTGAAAGCGGTTGACGACATTGCACCAAAACCTACTGAACTGTCCCAACACTTGTGACTCACTTGTGTGACATTGTACTTACAGCCTCTTAAGTGGAGTACTTGAGTGTTTTTAACCCTGATGCTCCCTTTGGTCTCCCTAGATATGAAGCAGCAGCATGTGATTGAAACTCTCATTGGGAAGAAGCAGCAGATTTCTCTGGCTACCCAGGTGGTGAAGATGATTCTGAAGATTGATGATATTCGAAGCCCAGGGGAGTCGGAAGACTGATATCAACCCAGTAGTGATGTGTGCGGTCTACAGGGGCTTTGAAGTCTTAAAGCGCTTTATAGAAAAATGTCCGCACATTTTAGTACAGTTATTTATTCATATGTTGTCCCTCTGATAAACTGTAATTGTACTGACTTCATAAATAAAATGGCCTGTTGAGAGATTTGATTTGGAGACGGGGTAATTTTATTTCTTGATTTGAAATTAACTTCCTAGAATCATTAATAGGAAAAGAGAAGAAAGAACACAAAGTTTCGGCTGTGGAGCCTTCTTTAGGTGTCAGACTTCAAGAATCATTGTTTCATTGAAGATTTCCAGACCTGAGGATTGTATTTGTGTGATGGTAAGTGGTCATAAGGCCTCTGGCTTTTGACTTAATGGCAAGCTGGAATTTCTGCAGTGTGGTACTAGATATTTTACAGCTGTTTCCAGAGGCACTGCCTCTGGCATTGAATCATTTCACATTAAAAGCCACATACAAAAACAAAACTCTTGTAAAAAAAAAATGGCTCACGTTTTTAGTTTTGTAGTAAGACGGTCTCATGATAATGTGTGAATGTAGCATTCAGTACAAAGAGTTACATCTTCTGTCCCCCTACAAAATATTGAATGTGATTCATTATTGGCAAGATATTACTGAATTTTCAAGTTACACTGTAACAAAGCTTTCCATTTTCTAACAAAGCTTTCCATTTTCAGCCCCTCGGTCTCTTATCGGCTGAATGTATTCTGACATGGCTGTTTCAGATGTACTTATTGAGCCAATTCAGCATATCCCTGCGGGCCTCTTCTATGAAGGGTCTGTCGTTGGGGTTTATGTCCTCCCTCTTGCGGTGCACAAACCCATGGGTCTGGCCTGCGAACACCTTGACTTTGAAGTCAACCGTGCAGTGTTCCTGCAGCTTCTTCTCCAGGGTGCTCACCTGGATAGTAAAACCACATGGTTTATTCAACTGTTCAGCACATCACAAATATACATTTATTAAATGTTTATGGCAGATCTGTCTTCTGAATTACCCAACTGTGCTGAAAATGTGCTTTAAAAATACACCTATCATGTTTTCATCTGCTTTAGATTTTATTTTTGGGATATATTATCTAGTATCTTAAAGCAGTGGTCTCCAACCCTAATTCTGAAGACCCCAAGCAAGTAGAGTTTATGTATAACCACCAAGTCATAGATTTCTAAAGACCTGGAACAATTCAAATGTGATTTGTTGAATAGCTGATTTAAGTTATTTTCAGATCATTTGGAACAAAATCAACATATCAGTCTTCTAGCACCAGGTCTTTGTTAACTAAACAAAGTACTTGCTTAATCGTAAAGTCCCAGCTCTACTGGGAATTGGATTAGCAATATTCCCATGTACACTGGCAATGGGGCTCAATATCACTTCTGAATACTGGAGAGGATTAATCTGACATGCAGATTCAATTCTCCATGTTTGAGAAACTGACCTGGTCGAGTGGAATAACCTGGTCATTTTCAGCAAAGAGAAAAAGCGTGGGGCTGCGTAAACTGTATCGGTCTTCAGAGTCCCGGATTATTCCTGCAAGAGAATGAAAGCCCGTGACGGACGCGTCCTGCCACTGACCCAACACGCAGCGTGTCAGGCAACTGGGGCAGCTCACCGTAAACAGAAACGCCGGCTTTCAGCTCCGGGTAGTGGAGAATCAGGTGGTGTGTGGCAATTCCACCCCAGCAGAACCCCACCACTGCAATCCTCCGGGCGCCACAGCGCTCCTTCAGGAACCCGAGCACCGCGTCGGCCTCCCTGGGGGAGAGAGCAGCCTCTTGCAGAATGAGCGCAGGGGAACAGCAGAGAGGAGGACCGCAGCTCTGTCCTTCACCTCCCAGCTTCAGCTGAACGATCTCAGAGTGCCAGTCACATCAGTGCAACTCCGCTTCCCAGATGAACCCTTTTTCTAGGGTTTTACATTCATGGCAATTCACATTAAATGTGTGTATATGCACACTAGCTCTGAAGGACATGAAAAAAGTGAATTGCTACCAGGATACTAATATACCAGATATTAAAGCTGATTTCAGTCCAAAGACACTTAGGATTTAGGATTGCTAAGTTTTCTGTGAAGCAACTACTGAATCAGCACCTACAGTGTTAGTGTCACAGGGACCACATTTCTGCCATTTTAAGGCTACAGTGTCTGAGAGTCTCTGGTGTGTTTGGACCCTTTTCAAACATGCCTGGCGTAAATGCTCAGAACATGCACAGCTCACACTGCAGAATGGGATATTTTAGGCAAATCTATCACTACTGTATTAATCAATAAATAAGAATGAGGGAAAGAATTTGGTTTGTTCTAACTATTTGATACATACAAACCTACAAAATTCTTATTAAACCCCTGTTTATTCTACATCATTTAAGATACCCAAGCTTATGTACCCCCAACAAGAAAACTTCCATATTTTACCTATTTATATTGGTTGCACTCCTGTCCTGAAGCCACTCTTGAAAGGTTGACCAGTCCTTGGAGGGGTCCCAGGGCTCCTTGCCCACGAAGAAATCTGGGCAGATGGCTCTGGGGAGAGGGCAGAGAACAACAGGAATCCAGAGTCACTACAAACTGCAGCAACAGGACCATTTAAGTTACAGGTGCTGGGTTTCTCAGGCTTAAAGACACTCATTTGACTTCTGACTACAGTTGCATAGGAACATTCAGTGCCAATAGGGGAGATCACAGGATTTATGATGCATGTCAACCACTGTACATCCTCCTCCTTGCAGGGAGCAGGGTGTCAGTGAGCACAGCTCAACCTAGACATGACATTACACAGCCGCTACAAACCAAGCAGTACAAAGCTATGTGCTTGTAGGTTAGTGCAACGTCAGGTTTTTCTTTAAAACCTCTTGAAACAAAGTTAGATATTCACATGTATCCACTAGAGGCAAGCATGTCGGCCATGTATCTGGTGTTCGGAAGCTGCCACCCATAAATGTCCTGGATGACGATGACGGCCTTGTCCGTGCTGGAGCCGGGCTTGGAGACGTAGGCTCTGAGGTGCTCGACCTGGACCTCCTCCCCCTGACCCCCGTATTCCAGCTTGTCTCCAAGGTCACAGGGGCAGGGTCGGGCTTCGTTGGCCATCTAGAGCACAAGGAAAGATTCGGGTGAGAGAACACGAGATGGGCTCCAGACAAGAGGGCACCTTCCAGCCTATCTGGTGAATATTTTATTCACCTGGACCCCTTGGGCTGTCACACAGCCCCCCACGGGGCTCCCCTCCCACAGAGACCGGGAATCTCGCCCTTAGCTCCAGCATGACATGATCTGTACCTCTGGCTCCACCCCCTGTGGGCGTGTCTGTGCCACACTGGGTATCTACAGTATCAGCTTGTGTAGTTTTACTGTCCTGTTTGGAACCTCATAGCATATTAACACACAATTGTTGTGCTGGAATTTTTTTGAGATGCATTATTTTGTGTAGTTCACGTTGTGTACAGGTTCTTTGTTATCTGTTTCAGTTTCACAGCACTTTCTTAGGTGACCCTGTGTTACTGCCAGGCTCTGTGCTCCATTTTCCAGAGAGGAGACACAGACAGGCAGGGCCAGGCTGAAGAAACTCCTCTTCTGCAACAGCTACAACACTCCGGTACACAGCAATCACGACCACTGTCTCAGTTAATGATCTGTTAAGTAAAACACACAAACCATCAAATGAAGAGAAACAATGGCCCCAGTAGTTAATCACTGATTGACTGGAAAGCTCCGACGTTCTTAAAAGGCAGCAGAGGCTATTGATTTTTTTAAGTGTAATACCATTGCCTCTTCAGCTATCGAACGCCCGTCAAAATAAGCCTTTTACAGAACATTGTTAGACAGGTACGCGACTCCAGCACGCTATTTCCCAAATAGTACATAGAACTGGCAGCCCCACAAGTAAAGATTACGCAACGAACACGAATCCCTGCTTTGCTGACTTCAATATATACACATTTCATTTATCAGTTTTAATTAAACCGCATTTTGCTCCTTACGTGTATTTTAAAAAGATATGTTACCAGAAGGAAAGCTTTTCTAAAACAATGTGTTTCCTCATGCTTTCGCCCCATGGAAAAAGGAGTTTACATAGTACTGTAGTTTAAACTTAAAACGCTTCAAACCGAATAACACGTTTCTTACAACCAAGACATTACTTTATCGACAATTAACATACACGCATTGCATTTTTATAGCAGTCATAGACTTCAAACGACCTACACCTATGATTAATGCCGCACAAAGTCGTTTAAGGATTGTACACGAAGAATGCAAAACAGTACGTTCTCTCACTACTTCTCCCCATTATGTTGTTTGCGTAAAGCCTTCATCCGCGCTCATAAAGCGTTTAAAAAGCTCTTATTAGTGAATGGAAACGAAAATTGCCTAGTCATCCCCACTGCTGTTACATAACACTTCTCTCGGACTGGATATTTTATTCATTGTTAAACGCACCGATTTAAAAGCGCGTTTGGCTAAATGGTCATCTCGAGTAAGTAACGTGCAGTTACAAAAACGCGAACTGGCCCATTCAGCATTCAAAACCGATCGAGACTTCATGCAAGTCGAGCTGTCGTGCACCCAAGGTCTACGAAATGACGAAAATGATATGCTATATGCATATCGATTTCAATTCTAAAACGGTATATGATATTGTTTACCTTGTCCTTTCTACTCGTAGATCTAGATTACGGGGGTTGAATCTCAGCTCTCCGACTGCAGCACCGCAGAAAAACGCTCCTGCACTGATCAGGGAAAAAAACTCGCTTTAACCCCTCCGTGTTGATACTGGCACAAAGCCAGGGAGGGTTTCGACAGCACACTCAAATACTGACTGTGTCAAGTTTTAAAAAAGTTTGCTTGGGATATGTTCTGACGGCCACATTGTAAAGCAAATGCACGCTTTGCATAACGACTTTTTAGCGAGGTGTGTGCAGTTTTTCACAGTTATGTTCTACGAATTTTAAAAATAGTGAACCACGATGAAACTATAGGGCGGTTTTTAGACCGGTAGTTCTTTTTTCTTGTGACTGTTCAAAGGACGGGTGTGTGACAAGACAGCAATAAAATTCAACACTGATCGAGGCACCGCTGGGATTCGAACCCAGGATCTCCTGTTTACTAGACAGGCGCTTTAACCAACTAAGCCACGGCGCCGCGCCGGCTGAGTCTCCCTACCTGAATTAACCCTAACCTAGTGTCGCTGTCATTGACGAGGCTTAAATTGGTGCCCTTTTCCTACGAGTTTATTTTCATCAAGCTGCGTGCGCGATCCTCCCACCTACTATTTATTTTATAAAATTCAGGGGATAAGAAACCGGAATAAAACCAGGAAGTGCAGAAGTACAGTGTATCCAGCGCTTTCAACAACAACAACAACAACAACAACAACAACAACAACAACTGGTTTTCGAGTGAGAAAATAACCGATCATTTAATATATTAAGTTGTTCTTCATAATAGTTTTCATAAACGAGTGCGGGGCATATTATTTTAGGTCGAATATGGGAAATTGCATATATTACATAGCACGCAATTTCCAGAATTGTGCCGTACCAGTTACCAAATAAACCGACAGTACGTTGCTATCTCGAAAATCAAATATATGTGGGTTTAAAACAACGAACAGGAGGCACTTCTTTACACAAACAGTGGGGGGAGTGGGGAGCAGGCTAACCAGCCCTGGTATTGAAAACGACACTCCGCTTCGTTTCAAGCAACAGCTGGATCAATAAGATATTATCAAACAGGCTAGAGTGCTCGAATGACCCCTCGTTTGTAACCTTTGTTATTTTATGTTTGTAACCTCATGCTAAATGAAGGATACTTCGACGCTAGATGTCGCCTGTTGCATTTCTAATCGGATTAAAGACCACTGCGAAAATTGTTTTTTTTCCTTTCCTAACATAGTTTTGAACATTCAATAAAATTTGAACCCATGGAGTAAACATTCATTTAAATATTTCAAATTCGACATCTCTTAACATAAATATAAGCGCCAAACTCCAACCAGACAAAAAAAAGGTTTGCAATAATTGTACGACCGACCATACCAGGTAATAATAATAATAATAATAATAATAATAATAATAATAATAATAATAAACTTTATTTTATATAGCGCCTTTAAAGGTGGCTTCTCAAAGCGCTTTACAGGATGACAATAACAATAAATAAGAAGACTACAACAATAAATAAGAAAATTTCACAAGACAGGACACAATTATAATTACAACAATACATCAATAGAGGAGACCGTGGAAGATGGTATTAAGAAGAGCAGAGGGGTGAAGAATGGAACCAGTTAAGTAAAGGCTTTTCTGAAGAAGAAGGTTTTGAGTCTGGATTTGAAGGAGTTTAGAGAAGGTGACTCTCTAATATCCTTGGGTAAAGAGTTCCAGAGCTTGGGGGCATAGCAGGAGAAGGCCCTGTCGCCCATACAATGTAGACGGGCTTGGGGGACAGTAAGGAGGGCAGAATTTGTGCCCTTAGGTGATTAATTTCCATCATTCCGAACATTTTGGAAAACAGAAACAGGACCCGTAACTTTCCCAAACCCAAGACTCTTTCAGGACATAAAGTCGTATTAGTAGTTATACTGGATCTGCAACAGCATCGGTTTTCCTTTGCCATGGCAACCGAGCGGAGTCGCAAACAGAGATCGTAAGTCGTGCGCCTGCGTAGCGCTTCCTGCCGTAAAGACCCCGCTAGCTGTCGTGCAGCAGACTCTCCGTAATGATATGGAGAGAGGGATGGATACAGATATTTATTTTTTAGGCTGACTGAATTAGCTTCGTACCCCAGTTCCCCTGGGGGATCGCAGACAAAAACAGGGTTTTAGAAGCAGTGTGGGTTGTGTTCGCTTGTGTGCCTTTTTGCTGGGGAGGGGGGGGGAGCGGGTTGATGTTTGTTTTCCGCCGAGGCTCGGTGATGGTGTCGATGTGTCGGCTGTAAGAGGAGCCGAGGGCAGCGCGTCGCACTCAAGATGGACACCGCCGAAGAAGGTAGCGTAACACGCCAGGAGCATGCCCCTGTATAACGCAACAGCAGGAACGGGACAGTCGCAGGGGGCCGGCGGTCCGGGTCGCGGTGGGCCGGGCCGGGCCAGTCCTCGGTGCGGGGCGGCACGGTGGGCGCATCGCTCAGGACCCCCTGGCGAGACGTGTTTCACCTTCCCGCAGGCTCATGTGCAGGATCCCGCCTGAGCAGTGTGCACAGGCTAGCGAGCTCCGGGCCGCACTCAGCCTGCGCTTGCCCGCTAACGATGCTTATGTAACCTCTAATCCTCCGGGGTTCAGCCGACTCATATTTGCATTTAGATTCACGCCTTTTGTAGTTTAAATTGGTGTTTTGTCACCTGCCGAGCGTCCCGCGAGTCAGCTCAGTGGCCATGAAGAGACGCACTTTATTTTATCTGATGCGCAGAATTTTTAGCTTTTGGGGGGGATTTAGGGTGACTGTACGAAATTGTACGAAGACATCAGGCTCGTAATGTCCACAGGCCAGAGGTATTTCGGGTTAAACTAGTGTAATATTTGTTTCCACACAAAAGAAATCCAAGTCTTTAAGGGTGGTTTGTGGTTTGTGCTTGTTTTGGGGTGATCGATGCGTTCGAGCAGCTCTCGCTGAGCGAATCAGCTGCCGGCCAGGTCTCGTCAGTCTCACCCTTTGCTTGTCCGGGCCGAGTCCTGGCCGGCTGGTACCGGAGGGTGAGAACTGGGTCAGATCCATGGTTCTGGTGTAGCTGTGAGCCGCATGGAGCTTGAAAGAAGGAGGAACTGTCCGGTGACTGTGTTTACTCCTCTGAACCGTGAGCAGACAGGAGACGTGCCAACTGTGTGTCGGTCGGAAGCGAGCTGTAGCGCCATGGAGCCCTGTGACCCCCCCTCGCAATTTGCAGCTTCGAGGGACTGTCGGGTTCAGGCCCCAGAATGCAGTGCGAATCGGCAATAAAAAACTTCACTCCCTCTTCTTGTCCTGCCTCCGTGTTTGAAACAAGGCTGCTTCACTAGCCGTTCTGCGTGTGAAACAAGGCTGCACATGTACGATTCAAGCTGGTTTGGTTTTGGATGCTTTCTGAGTTTTATGAAGTGAAAAGGTGATTTAGGCCTTATATAGTATTGAGCTTCCAAGTTTTAGTGTATGTGCATTTGTGATGGTCGACAACAGTGTTATCTGCCAGCTGGACTCTTTTCTTCATTAGATTGTATAGCTGGTCCAAATTCTGAAGTTTATAGTGCTTTGCGATTTCATTTTTAGAGTCAACGTTTAAATGGATTTATAACTGAAAATGTTAAAGGAGCATAAATTTAAGATGGGAAGCAAAATAGAAGAGACTTATTTAACAAAAAGAGTTGTTTTAATAGTAGTTAAAGTGCATTAAAGTGCAGACTAATATAAAATAGATTACACAAAGTGTTGATCTGGTGTCTGTGACACCAGATTGTACTTGCTGAGCAAGACTTGGTCAGTCTGCCAGTTCATTATTCACTATTCATTGCAACTAGGGGAGTTTCTGCAGTGTGTCCTGTTTTAGTAATAAGTCCTTGCTTTCATCCCACTAGCTTTTGACAGTAGACTAAAGTCAGCTAATTGCATAGCCCCCTATTGTAATTATGCATGAATTGTGATAAATGAATGCAAGCCAGGTTTTACCAGATTGTAAAAATTTAGGATCAATCTTAGGCCATTGCAGATTTAATGCATGTGTGTGTATTGTACAGAGTGTTTCTTTCCCTTGATGTTGATGCCGCTGGTGTGCAGAACTCCTAGAAAACTGTAGGTTATTACTGGATGATCCCCAAGTGTTGAGTTGGAGGCTTAACTCCAGAGCTTGTTTGGAGGAAATGAAATGCGCGTGTTTGCAGTAAAGCTGTGTTTGCGTAGTAACTGGCAGGAGTCAGAACTGTACTGTCTGGAAAGCTTGCCTTGTTTTTGTTGGCTTGTTTTCCAGAGATGAGTAGTGTCAGACTTCTGTGTTAAAAATAAAGTATGAGATGTCCACAGTTGTGAAGAAGAGCAAAACACTGCAGTCACCAGCAGAGATCTCACCACCAGCTCATTCATCCTGTGGAAACAGTAATGTGTGTGGGGGGTGCAAATGGGTTATTTTGATAAACACAACAGCATGATAGAAAGATCTTAAATAGATCTCTGAAAAGGATCATTCATACTGCAGACTGTGAATTGTGTAGCTTGTGTACACCGACACTGGGCATACTGCCTAAAAACTGTCCTGTTGAAGCCCCATGTGAAAGTGCCACAGAGGTGGTAAGCTGAGCTGAAGCCTGTGGGAAGGAGGGCAGACAAATGGAGTGTGTGGACGCCCTGGGCATCTCCTCTGTACACTGCTTCCATTCTGCCTTGATTCCACGGTTTCAAGCACCAATGGGTTGGCTTGCAAAAGCCTTCAGCTTTGAGCCTTCTCTCAGTCTGTGTTTGTTGAAAGAATAAAAGATTTGTAAGTCGAGTTAAGACTTCCAGGAAATCATTGCTTGTCTGTGAATGCTTGATGGAAAGTTTGATTGCAGAACGTTCTGCTCAGACGTGAAAGTCGTTGCCAGAACGCTCAGAGGGGACAAACAATGCTAACTGTTGCTGGAAGCCACTGATCGCGCTCATATACGGAATGAGACAGCTGAGTGTAGGATTAAAAAGCAGGAGTTAATAGTACAGGATTTTCCAGCAGGATGCCAAATTCCTTACATTCTTCTACCTGGACCTTCTACCTAACAGGCTAATTGTGCCAGACGGCTTCTTATGTTCTTATGACTGAGCCGATGAACTTCTCTGCTTTCTTTTGCAGCAGATATATGCAGGGTCTGCCGATCGGAAGGAACCCCAGACAAGCCACTCTATCACCCCTGCGTTTGCACTGGCAGCATTAAATTCATCCACCAGGAATGGTATGTGCTTTTGCGTTTGTTTGGGGATGGGATTCCTGATTTTGGATTGTGCAATTTGTCATAAGATATGCACATTAAAATACTTGGAAAAGCCCATGGCTGTTTCCTTTAAAAGGCTGCACAATCTAGGTGTTTCGCTGCCCGGTAGCTGTGTTTAAAGCTTTAAAACATTGATTGCAGGGAGGTGAACCTGAGGGCCGCATGGGAATTGTAGAACAAAAGCGGGTCTGTTTTTTTCCTTTGTGCTCTCTGCGTGTCCGGTAACAGAGGCCCTGCCGGGCGATCTTGTGCACACTAGACCGCTCTGTGCACTCTTCTCCACAGGGAAGCACAGGCCTTAATGAGAATCCGGGATACTCCGAGAGCAATAGATATAACTTGCTTTAACAGAGTTGCCTCCTTCCGAGATGAGCTTTGAAACCTGTGTCTTATGGAGAATAGTCTGTTTGAAACGGGGCATGTCTCCCAGCTTGTTTTTTCCTGCCCAGTTTTACAAAAGACGCCACCTCTGGAAGAAGGCATGCTAGGTGGCTGCAGTGTGCTGGAAGGGTCTGTGCCAAAGGAGCTTCATGTGGGTCACTTTTCCACACTAGATCGCAGTTAACCAGGATTGCTTGTCTTGCAGCTTGGTGCAATGGCTGAAACACAGCAGGAAAGAGTACTGCGAGTTGTGCAAGCACAGATTTGCTTTCACACCAAGTAAGTGACCTAATCTTGTATTGTCATATCATGTATCCAGATATCACAGCATTGTATCTGACACTATAAGTTGAACCTAACACATGATGTGGGTAGATGTTCCGTTTGACCTGGAGATCGTGCAGTGGATCTTCAGAGTGAGTTTGAAATGTTGTGGCAGATCCGGTCACTTTGTCCTCCCTGTCTTAAGCTGCCTGATCCAGGTTTTCATCCTTGCACAACACTTCCGGATGCTCCCTAGGTTGCACAGACATTTCTTCAAAAAAGTTTTTCCTTTCAGCTGTTTCTAATTCAGTGACGAACTCCATGTCTGGCTGTTTGGAATGTGTAGGTCTTATGTGACTGAGATCACGTTAATGGGCTGCCGTGTGTGTGTGATCCCCTGGTGCTGGTCCAGATGGAGATGCAGGGAGATAATAATAACTTCTATTATGACCTAAGCTAAGCCTTGAGGGGGGAAGAGGATTTAAAGTGCTCAACTAGTTATGACGGAAGGGGTCGTTGAGGCAATGCAATGCCATACAATGTGTTTGGTTTCTGTGACAATATTACTGTATAAACATGAATGCATAAAGGAAATCAAGGTAAACAGTTATTTGCTGGGATATCTTTCACAATGATAAGATTAATGTTTCTGAAAAAGATATTAGAGGGTTTGTCTGCCTGTTTTGGGCAGTGGGAAGAAATGGCTAGGGCTTACTGTAGTGCAAGGAGGAAGTTCACAATTGGACTCACTGTAGTGCAAGAATGAAGTTCACAATTAGGCTCACTATAATACAAGAAGGAAGTTCACGACTTTCAATAATTCTGTTACACCTGTTTCCACTTTTCAGCAATTATTTCAGAACATATCACTACACTTTTTAGTCTTAAAATATCACAGGATGTCGGTATCTGCTGACCTAAGAGCAGATGGACACCCGCCGTTTAAGAGTGGCATTTTGTTCTTTTTGTGTGTGGAAAAGGCCCTACTGTCTCGAGCTTTGCTGAGCCTCATTTGTCTTTTTTCCATTCCTGCAAGTAGCTGGCTGCTCATGTCTCTGCTCTCTCCTCCTCCTCTGCAGTTTATTCTCCAGATATGCCTTCACGGCTCCCTATCCAGGACATATTTGCCGGACTGGTGACGAGTATTGGCACAGCAATACGATACTGGTTTCATTACACACTTGTGGCCTTCGCCTGGCTGGGGGTGGTTCCCCTCACAGCATGTAAGTGACCTCAAAGCTATTTAAAAGTTTTACCTTTTAATAAAAACCATTAGGTGTTTATTCACCTGTTGCTTCTGCTATTTTTTCAGGTCGCATCTACAAGTGTCTGTTTACCGGCTCTGTGAGCTCACTACTGACGCTGCCACTGGATATGTTATCCACGTGAGTTTAGGCTTTTTCTTAATTTGTTCAATCAAAAATGTTCTTATACAGGTGCTCCCAGACTTATGCTTGGGTTACCTTCCACACAACCTTACATGGTTTATAAGGTGTTTCGATCATTATGGCTACAATTCTGTAATAACAAAACCTGAACACTACTGCAATGTTATTACAGTATAATCTACAGTATTTTAATAATAGAACTGTAATTGAAGTCAAAAGCATTGCATAAAAGTATGGAACAATTGTGTTATGCAACGCACCTTAATTCCTAGTGTGGGCTTGCTTTTCAAATCGTTGGAACACTTTTCATCCATAACTAGGAGGATAATTCAGGAAATGCACAGAGGAATTTATTCCAGATGAAGCTCACAGAAGAGAAGATACTCGCACTCACACAAGGCAGCGCATAACAAGACTGAGACCGCATGCAGCTTTTTCTTAAAGTTGCATTTCTGTCAGCAGGGGAGTGCCGCAGCCACAGAGCAGGACAGCTTGTTCTCTCTGTGTCGCAGGAGGAGATAGTAGAAGTGCAGGCAGGCTCCACACTGAGTCGCTCATTTTCTTAACAAGTGGCTGGCAGTTCAGTGCTGTGTCCTTCAGTCAGGTCACTGCAGTCCTGCTGGTGCCCTGCAGGGGTCGCTGTCTGGCTGGACCTGAAGAAACCTTTGGCCCACTAATCACAGCCTTGCCCTGGCTGGCACCACACTGAGTGAAGTTATTTTTTTAAGAAGTCTTAGCATTTCTTTAGGAATATGCAGTATATAACACTTAACTAAGCACTGGATTTTCTTCCTGTATTTCAGGGAAAACTTGCTGGCTGACTGTTTGCAAGGCTGCTTCGTGGTGACGTGTACCCTCTGTGCGTTCATCAGCTTGGTGTGGCTCCGAGAGCAGATTGTCCACGGTGGCGCCCCTCAGTGGCTGGAGCAGAATCAGCAGCAGCCTCCCAATGGGGTGGGGCAGCCTAATGAGGTACAGTACAGACAGCTGCAGGAACCAGTGTCAGAGAGACCAGGACACCTGAACATTGGAGTCTCATTCTAGACCAGCCCACAGGTGTCATCCTCTCTTTAAATCACCCGCAGCTTAGGGACTGGGACCAGCTGTGAAACCACTCCGGTTAAGACGGTTATTAACAGGGAAACTGAGACAGTGGAGTTGGGATGAGCTTGCCAGATCTAATAGCCCTCCAAATCGCTTGTCTTGGAATATATCACACAGGGCATCATATAATAAGATGTGCAGGTTGTTTGAATCTTTGGTCTTTTAATTCAGGATTCATAGTTCAAGTGATGGTCCGGTCACTGTACGTACAAGCTGAGTGGGAATTTAAGATGTTCTGTTCACTATAGCTCTTTGCGCTTGGTACCTTAGCATGACGTTCATTTCCACACAAGCAATTCATGACTTCCTTGTTCGGGTCCTGGGCTATTCCAGTGCCGAGCTCTGCGTGTGAGGCGCAGGTGCGAAACAGGAGTGACTAGCCCCAGCAGCCATCAGATGAGTCGGGATTGCAGGATCATCGTCCTCAGCCAGGACAGCCACATCCCCTAGCATCAGGGGCGGAACATGTTGGAGCTCAGGTTCCTTGCCTCTGGTAACTGCTGCCGAGGGGCAGTTTCCTCTTTGGTGGGCTCCCAGCACGTGTCCGTGACGCTGAGGGTTGACTCGGCACACGTGGCGAGATGCCGCTCATCCCGGGGATGCAGACCTGCCCTGCCTCCTCACGTTCCCAGCTCAGTGGCGGCGTCCTGGCTTTTGTGTCGTGTCCAGGTCCCAGGGGCTGGGAACGGGGCTGCTGAGAACGCGCCAGTGCCGGCGCCGGCCAACCTGCCCGCCGAGAACGCTGCGGTGGCCGAGGTGCCGGGCGTGCAGGGCGAGCCCGCCGAGGACATGGAGGTGGACAACGAGGATGAGGAGGATGCTGCTGCCGAAGACGCTGCCGATGCAAACAATGGAGCTCCAGGTACTGTCAGTAGGGTCTCCAGTGTCACAGCCCAGGGGAGAGAGAGCTGCCCTAGTCCAC